ATAAGGGGGACCCTTACGTTTTTCAGAATCGAAGACAAAAACGTGATACATCGATTTTGTTCAAAATCTGATGGCGCTCCTGAAGTTGCTGATTCGGTCCTATATTCCAAAGTTCGATTGCGAATTAGTGGTCGTAATGATGCTTGGAATATTTTAATTAAATTTTTCAATACTTATTTCAGTACTCGCAAACTATGTGGTTTCTCAGGTGATTAGGTGGTGTTGTTATATTTCTTCTGGATGTACTTAATTACTGAAATTAATCCACAAATTTCAAGTCTGAGAAAATCATATTTGGCTGAAAAAACGCATAAGGGGACCCTTACGCGTTTTTCAGAGACAGATTTCATAGCGATAAATGCGATTTTGTTCAAAATCTGATATAGGTACTCCTGAAGATGCTGATTCGGTCCTATAATCGAAAGTTCAATTGCGGAATAATTAGTGATTGTCAGCCAATTAGCGGAATATTTTTAAGGAAATTTTTCTCAATAGGCCTACTTATTTCAGTACTACTTAAACTATTGGTTTCTCAGGTGATTGGGTGGTGTTAATATGTTTTTCTGGATATGTAATTACTGATAATCCCACCAAATTTCAAGTCTGAGAAAATCATATTTGGGTGAAAAAAACGCGTAAGGGTCCCCCTTCGCAGCGTTTTTCTCAAGTCAACAAAACGGGATCATCGTTTTGTTCAAAATCACAGTATAGATATCCTAAAGATGCTGATTCGGTCTATAATCGAAAGTTCGATTGCGGAATAATTAGTGGTCATAATGATGCTTGGAATATTTTAATGAAATTTTCTCAATACTTATTTCCGTACTCGCCAAAAGATTGGTTTCTCAGGTGATTGGGTGAATGTTATGTTTTTCTGGATGTATAGTGCAAAATTAATCCACCAAATTTCAAGTCTGAGAAAAATCATATTTGGGTGAAAAAGCAACGTAAGGGTCCCCGCCGCGTTTTTCAAGTTGAACAAAAGCGCGATAAATGCGATTTTGTTCAAAATCAAAGTATAGGTACTCCTGAAGATGCTGATTCGGTCTATGATCAGAAAGTTCGATTGCCGGAATAATTAGTGGCCGTAATGATGCTTGGAATATTTTAATGAAATTTTTCTCAATACCCTTCAGTACTTTCATAAACCCTGTGTGTATTGGTTTTTCTCCAGGTGATTGGGTGCTGTTGTTATGTTTTTCTGGATGTGCCAATCACAAGTAATCAACAAATTTCAAGTCTGAGAAAAATCATATTTTGGGTGGCAGCGTAGAGGCCCTTCTGGCGTTTTTTCAGAGGCCGAACAAAGCGGCGATACAGCCGATTTTGTTTCAAAATCCTGATATAGAGTACTCATGAAGATGCTGATTCGGTCTATGATTGAAAGTTCGATTGCGGAATAATTAGTGGCCATATGATGCTTGGAACTCTTTATGAAATTTTCTCAATACTTATTTCAGTATTACTTAAACTATTGGTTTCTGGATGATTGGGTGGTGTTATGTTTTCTGGATGTACTTAATTACTGAAATTAATCCTGAAATTTCAAGTCTGAGAGAAAATCATATTTGGGTGAAAAAAGCGGCGTAGAGAGGGACCCTTCGTTTTCCAGGGTCGAACAAAAGCAGCGATAAATCACGATTTTGTTCAAAATCACAATATAGGTACTCCTGAAGATGCTGATTCGGTCCTATGATCGAAAGTTCGATTGCGGAATAATTAGTGTTAGCGTAATGATGCTTGGAATATTTTAATGAAATTTTTTTTTTCTGTCCCTTTATTTCGATGACCATAAACTATTGGTTTCACTCAGGTGATTGGGTGGTGTTGTTATGTTTTTCTGGATATTACTTAATTACTGAAATTAATCCCACAAATTTCAAGTCTGAGAAAAATCATATTTGAATTTGAAAAAACGCGTGAGGGGACCCTTACTCATTAAAATATTCCAAGCATCATTACTGGCTTTTTGGTTTAGGTAGAAAGAGATAGGTCACCACGAGGTCAGGTCTTTTATAGCGAAGGTAGGCGTGGCTTAATAGTTGACCTCCGTCATGTAAGGCGGCGCTGGTTGACCTAGACCAGCGCTTCTCAAACTATCTGATGTGGCGGGCCGGCATGGGTTTTTTTCAATGTGCCACAGACCGGCGAGGCAAGCGAGCCAATCCCGGGGCCTACTCAGGAAAATCTTTTGAGATATGTCCCACAATAATTTTTTGTTTTTCAAATTTACACAGGAATAGTGTGAACCGGCCTTTAAGATTATTAGTACTTACATTTTCAGATCAGTGGGTTGGGATGGGGTCCCAAATGACAAACACGCAGATACCCGTATGATGCTCTCTGTTCCACTTCTTGATGGTAACTAACCACTGACCTGTGACCTGACATCACAGACTGCTGATCCACACGTGTGGAATAGCAGGGTTGCCAGCTGTGTGACACCCTTCACGGCTGGCACGCATAGTAAAAAATCGGCCATTTCTTTTAATGGGATGCATACATTTATTTTATCCGAAATTAAATAACTACCATACTTAAAATAAAAAGATTTATGTTTTGGGTGGATATGGCGTAACTGGTGGCCGAGAAACGTGGCAATTCTGGTAACACAAGGTGATGCGCCCTATTGATATCCCCAGGTGTGGTTCCCACAGAGTCAAACGCCACATCATCATGAAGGTGTTGTTATACGTATTTCAGTTCGCTGTTTTGCTGTTCATTATATCGCATTCGTTAATTGCATAGCAATGACTTTTAACATGAGTGAGTAAATGAAAAATATAGCCATAATAAATATAAAAACTACAATGAAAATGTAAAAAAAAAAAAGACCGAGTCAGATGTCCCGGCAGTGTCACGTGGTGTGGAACGTGTCTATCGTTTCTTTCTTTCCTGAAAACTCTCCGCGTACCGGCAGACGATGGTTCACGGACCACACTTTGAGGAGCACTGACCCAGACCACGACTCATACACTGGGGTCGGCTACTCAGCGACAAGCGTTTGTAGGGAGGAATCCACTGCAATGTGTTAAAGGAATATCCTTCCGTCCTTAGGCTTTAGTAAGTCCCTTTATAATATTCATTTATACTTGTGACACTTGCCAGATGCTTCTGGTGTTATCGTACAGGGGTACCTAGTGACAGCACTAGGATTCCGCTTCCTCTATCAAGGAATAAACAATTTAATTGAATGTATCCTTGCGCATCTCTGAAGTCTCTGATAATTTCAAGGCTCAACTATGAAACCAATAATATAAACTGAAATTAATGAATCAAATATAACCGAATGATATTATATTATATAAATTTTACATTTAATCAACAGAAACCTGAAGTATTTCTATAAATAATTATGTATATAATTAGAAAAACAGATTGAACATGTAGGATATGTAGTTGAACGACAAGCGTCTGTAGCGTCTGACAGGTTGCGGGCGGGCCAGTCAATAACGGCGCCTCTCCCTTATAATCTTATCTCTTCACAAAACTAACCTGGTAATATTTATTCCTCAGTTGCCGGTATACATAGAGCTTAAGTGTAAAGGTAAATATTTGATTTGTAAGTCTTGTCAGGAGGTAGAAGCGGTATCATTTTCACGCTTTCAGAATTTGTATTGAGAGATGGGAATGTGCATTTATTTGCAATTAATTATATTATAATAGTTCCCAGTTGCTGAGAATAGTAATACATCATGGTCCTAGCCATTTTGAAGACTTGTTGTATAGAATAGAAGTTGCACTGCTCGACGATAGGTCAGATCGGGTTAGGGTCATCTCGTACCCAACTCACGAGATAAGTCATACCCAAGATTACTTACACCCAATTCAAGATATAATCCATACCTATTAGTATATATACTATGTATTTTAGCTTTGAAGTGCAGTGAAATAGTGAAATGTAATGCAGACTTTAAAATGGTTGCATCTCATTACATAAGTATGTTATTCCGTTACACAAACATTGTACTACAAGTATATATTTCACACTGTGGTTTAGAATAACTTTATTGTAATTTACAGATTTCAGGCCAATAGATTTGGTAGTTTCGGTGAAATTTCAGTCATGCACCAGTCTTTTTCTCGCTGTTATTAATATGTTTGTCGTAATGTTTAGACAATTCAGCCGGAAATTGAGGATAACCAAGATATAAATTTTTCAATATTATTAGATTTGGTCAGTCACAAGTGCCCCCATTAATTGTTTACACCTCACAGAGAAGGTCTGACCACCCATCATGCTTCTTAAGCGTCTACAGCGCATGTGCGGGGGATGGTGTGGGAGTTTCCCATTGGCTATAGCAATATGAGAATGATAATTGGGCAAGAGGTTTTTGTCTTAGCCAATGAACAATGCGTGGGTGTGTTGGGAGCGGAGATTTGATTTTTCAGTACCATAATAACCAGATATGGTTGAACAGGTGGAAAGAGCTGTGCTGACATTGTGATAGAGATTATTTTACGTAAATTGCAGAGTTTCAACAGAAAAATAGTGTTAGGTTAGGTTTTGTTTGTTGGTTGGTTGGTTGGTTGGTTTTTTATTTATGTGATTCACTCGAAAAAAAAATCTTTAAGATTGATGAGTAGGGTGGAGGGGGGGGGTCTCAAAAACTATTGATTTCCGGCTGAAATGAATATAAAATTTGTTCGAAACTCATCAAATAACATCGGAAAAACATATTTTTAATATCCAAACAAAGACTGGTGCATTAGTGAAAATTGACCGCAGTTTGAATTTATAAACCGAAACTGGGTGATGTAAACGTTTAAAATGGTTATTAGTCAACAAAATATAGACATACATAAAAACAGATTGATTTTCCAGCTCCAGCTTTTTGTAAACAAATCAGTTAGTGTACAGTACCGTATATAATTCGGGGCTCCTCTTTGGTACTTCTTTCGGTATAATGAACTTGTTCTACGTAGTGGCTGACATCGTCAGGAATTTCTTCTTCTGACATGTGAACGTCAAGAATGAAATACAGTACAGTAGCGGTAAGGATATAAAAGAATGAAGAGTGAGAATATTGGCCAATGCATATACAATTAGTTATGTTAATGTATGTTAATGATTCTCTGGATAGATTTGTTTAAAAAGTCACGACCATAAGGAAACAAGACCAGTATGAGTAACGTAACGACCTGATTATGTGCACCCAATATTCACGCTATTCATATATTAAAATCAACCTTGTCCATGTTTCCATTGTGGATCAAATTCGTATGCATCAGAACAAATATCATGTGAAAAAACAAATTATGGTTGAAACTGCAAATTTACTGTTTACAGTAGGTTTGGTTTTGGTAAATACAGTATTCCATAGTGACCATGCACGGAAATTACTACAGAAACTAGTTTTTTATACTGTTTATTTATTGTGTTTCATATGAATGACTTTCATTTCTGCCAGAAATGATTATGAAGATATGAACTCCCCGAGTTATCAACACTGGGGTAAAACAAACAAAAACTACTCGATTATCAGCATTAATCTCCCCGTTGACTGGAATAATTGATGCTGTGTGGTCCCTGGTGTGAGAGATTTCCAGGTATGGAGACATTTTCTCATCCCCTGAAAAAATTATTGCAAATATTCGTCCATTGGCTTTCCTCAGGTTTTGATACAAAATTATTTTTGTGTGTTTTATGGTGTTTTTTTTACTCATATCTGACCTTCATTTCTTGTGCAAGGTAGTGGTTTAGAAAAAAAAAGAGGATTTTCATTTGTAACAGGAACCACTAATTTGCACCAAAATGGCAGTCAGGTTTGAGTGAAACACCATAAAACACCAAAACACCAAACCTCACTTAATCTAACATAACATAACCTCACCTAACCTAACCATTGTTTGGAGCTTACCTGTTACTATGGTGGAGGATACAGCTGGGTGATCTGGTACTTTTATGCTTACAAACAAAAGAATTTCTGTCTTTTCTTAAGAGTAAACAATTTCCACACTTGGGATACAGTCTTGATGTTGGTAGGAACCTGTGATCTTGTAATATTTGGATGCTTCTGTCGTTCTCATAAACTCACAGAATAACAGCTAGATAAGGGAGAGAGTACTTTTTGCATGCCATCACAAGCCTTCAAAATGGCTGCTTCAAAATGATTGGTCAACCAAGTCACATGACACGATACTTGAAGGTCATTGGTTGTCATGGCGCAAAGAGGGGGAGGGGACGAGAAAAGCAAGGAGAGGAGGAAAGTGACTGGCAACATGGCGGGTACAGAAATTTATGCCTAGAAATTTGTCAGATACAGTACTGTTAATATTGATTTGCACAAGAAATGATATGAAGTCATGTGTTTGATTTTTATAGTCTTTGTGTCTGGAATATTGCAAATTGAAAACCTGCGGACAGCCAATGGACGGATATTACCAAAATTGCACTTCCCTGGAATTTTTCTGGTGTAGCATTCTCAGAGGGACCCATTCTCAGTGGACTACTCCTCTCAGCTGAATAAAATCGTCTGGTGTTAGCCAGACTTAAATGCCTGAGTATGTCACTCTGCCATACAAAGGTTTAATGAATGGTTTTTCAGGTATCTAACCTATTCATTAAACGAGGGATAGTTATACAGTACCTGCATAGTTTGTATACAGTACGGTACATGCCAAGCCAAATGTAAACTTGTATGGTGAATTTACTGAAAAAACAATTATTATTATTACCATATTTTTTTCAGTTCTCATTCTGACTGTACAGTACTATAAAATGGTACAGTATTCCCAGGATGCCCCCTGATTTCTAGTTGAGTTTATAGCCAGGCAGTTTGGATTCCTTCTCTCCTTCCATGGGTGTGTGAAATCAAAGATGGTAGACAGAAGACATTGTTCCAGATGTGTCCTCCCTTTACAAGAGCAATTGTTGCTTCTGATCTATCCCATAGGGCAGGGGTGGGCAATTATTTTGATTGACAGGCCACTTCATGAATGGTGGTACACTTCGCTGGCCACAGACTTAATAGAGATGCAAATGCATAATATTTTGCACAAAGTAAAACCTTTTACAGGGTATTTGTATATACTATAGGATGTAAGGAAAATATTAAGTACTAACAGACACAGATATTTGGGGTAAATAAATACATCACTTCTTAGCTTGTCTCTTTTATTATTAATAATAATGCTAATACAAATACTACTATTAATACTACTAGTAATAATATAGAGTTAAGGTGCAGTATATTTAGTACATTAAGTACATAAACATAATAGAACAGATTCGATCTTGCTGGCTGAAATTCATCTTCTCTTGAGACATTGTCTTTACTCTTCCCTAGGGAGGTGGTGGTAAGGTAGAGTTGGTCAGGTCTGATCACAGCTAATCCTGCTTCTCCGGCTTCCCTAGGGAGGTGGTGGTTGGGTGGAGTCGTCCAGGTCTGATTGTAGCTGTCCCTGATCCACATTGTCATTGTTGCACTCTGCTTGATAAATAAAATTAATAAAATTTAATATTTATTGGTTCTTCTTGATAAATAAAAAGTAATAAAATTAAGTTTTAATGGTTTAAAATAAGCAAATAAAGGCAAGTCAAAAGACTAATATGTACCCGGTAATTACGTAATATTTGAAGTTGTTCATATGTTGTTAAGAATATTTAACTTACGGTACTTAGTGGGATGAATGACAGTGCTGATGATTGTTAACCAGACTATTGAAGTCAGGTGTTGCAATGAAAAGTACTTGTTCAAGGTAATCATCAGTCATTGCTGATCTAAGTTTTGATTTATTCAGCTTCATTACCAAAAATGTCTGCTCATATATATATATATATATATATATATATATATATATATATATATATATATATATATATATATATATATATATATATATATATATATATATATATATATATATATATATATATATATATATGTGTGTATGTATGTATGTATATATATATATATACACCTAAACCCCGACTTACGACTATACGGACTTACGTCCAATGGTACTTACGACCTGCTTTGACCGTACGTCCATACGGGACATACGACTGCGACCGCCGTGACCAAAAAATTTTTCAAATGACGCGCGCATTTTCTATACCGAAACGTTTCCGTCCCGGGCGAGAGGGAGGGGTGCCTTGGGTCGCCTCGTGGCTGCACTCACTCAGTGGAGCGCTTTGTTTGTGTTTGGCTATCGTATCCTATACTGATCGCGCTGTGAACTTTCGTTATTATTGTATTTAATTGACTTTATAATGACTGGAAAGCGTAAAAGTGAGAGTGCTGGTGGTACTCCAAGGAAAAGGAGACAGGCAATTACTTTTGAGATGAAACTGAAGATAATAACACAGTATGAGAATGGAAAAACAGTAGCAACGATCTCACACGACCTAGGTTTCTCACACTCGACTATATCCACTATTCTGAAGGACAAGGAACGTATTCGTGAAGTAGTGAAAGGAACAACACCTATAAAGGGAACTATAATAACAAAGAAAAGACAAGGTCCTATCCACGATATGGAAAAATTATTGGTGATATGGATAGAAGACCAGATGCAGAAGCGTGTACCCTTAAGTGTTCTAACCATACAGGCTAAAGCAAGAAGCCTGTTCCAAAGCCTGAAGGAGCAGGCAGGAGATGAATGTGATCAAACCTTTACAGGAAGTCAAGGGTGGTTTGATAGATTTAAAAAACGCTACAGTCTACACAATGTTAAGGTGAGTGGAGAGGCAGCTAGTGCCGATGTTGGTGCTGCCGAAGCTTTTAAGGAGGAGTTAGATGATGTGATTGTGGAAGGGAATTATTTGCCAGAGCAAATATTCAATGTGGATGAGACTGGATTATTGTGGAAACGCATGCCTGACCGGACATACATCCACAAAGAGGCAAAAAAAATGCCCGGATTCAAGGCATTCAAGGACAGAATTACACTTCTGTTGGGGGGGAATGTTGCTGGTTTCAAGCTAAAGCCCTTCATGATCTATCATTCAGAGAACCCCAGGGCTTTTAAACATGTCAGCAAGCACACACTGCCAGTGTTTTATCGCAGTAACAAGAAAGCCTGGATGACCCTAGTACTATTTGAGGATTGGTTCATGACTTGTTTCATTCCACGAGCCAAGGAGTATTGTCTGCAACAAAGGATTCCATTCAAGATTTTGCTGATTTTGGATAATGCTCCGGGATACCTACCACACCTGGACGACATGCACCCTGATGTTAAGGTAGTGTACATGCCACCTAACACTACCTCTATCATCCAACCCATGGATCAAGGTGCTATTTCTGCCTTTAAAGCATATTATTTACGCACGACCTTCGCTCAGGCTGTTGCTGCTACTGAAGGTGAGAAAACGCTCAGACAGTTTTGGAAGGAGTACAACATTTTGTCATGTATAAAGAACATTAGTGCAGCATGGGATCAGGTTACAAAACATTGCATGAATGGAATATGGAAGAAAATCCTGAAAAGATATGTGAACAGTTTCAAAGGATTTAATGAAAGTGAAGTTATTTTGGATATTAGTAACAAGATAGTGGACTTAGGTAAACAGCTGGAGTTAGAAATTGATACTGAAGATGTTGGACAGTTGGTTGAAAGTGTAGCAGAAGAGCTCAGTAACGAGGATCTTATTGAACTAGATGCACAGAAAGTTGCAGAGGAAGAAGAGAGACAAAATGTAGAAGAAGAGCCTGCACCCCCCAAAAAGTTTTCAGTGAAACATATGGCAGAGGCATTTGCTACAGTTAATAAAGCAATGCAAATGTTTGATGACATGGATCAAAATTATGAGCGTTATGCCAAAGTTGACAGAATGATCCAAGATTCACTTGCTTGCTACAGAGAAATTTATAATGAAAAGAAAAAGCAAACTGTGCAGTCTAAATTGGACACCTATTTCAAGAAGTCCCCCAGTACTGGCTCCTCACGCCCCACCAGTGCTGCCTCTTCACTCCCTCAAGATGATCCAATACCTTCAACCAGCAAGTTACCACAGTACATAAACCTGTCTGAAGGAAGCGACATTGATGACCCACCCAGCCCTGTCTCCTCTTCTGCTTCTTCCAATTAATATAGTCTCCATGTATCCTGTAAACAGAAAATTATGGGGGCCCTGTGTGCATTCAGCTGACTACATTTAAGGTAAGTGCTCAGTCACACTGTATCCATTCCTCATTATTTATTACTTTTACTGTACTGTATCCATTCCTCATTATTTTTTACGTTTAGTGTACTGTATTTCATTGTAGATTTTTAAAAATTGAATTTTTTTTTTTTTTTTTTTTTTTTTTTTTTTGAAAAAAAAAAAATTAAAATCTTTTATCTATATCATATCGGACTTACGACCTGGATTTGTATATATATATATATATATATATGCATAAATATATATATATATATATATATGCATATATATATATATATATATATATATATATATATATATATATATATATATATATATATATATATATATATATATATATATATATATATATATATATATATATATATATATATATATATATATATATATATATATATATATATATATATATATATTTATATATATATATATTTATATATATATATATTTATATATATATATATATATATATATATGCATATATATATATATATATATATATATATGCATATATATATATATATATATATATATATATATATATATATATATATATATATATATATATATATATATATATATATATATATATATATATATATATATATATATATATATATATATATACAGTGGGGTATGCTATAACGAACGTAATTGGTTCCAGAACCTCGTTCATTATAGGATTAATCCGTTCCAGGCCCCCAAATACAACCACTTAACACTGAAAAAATTCTGTGGAAAATGTAAAAAATACGGTACTTTATCTTACCTTAGTGTTATTCAGCATGCAGGTACCCCTAAACACTGGCACAGCACTATCACTTCCACTGGGAGTCTTGGCTTTAAGGTCCTCAAACAATTGTTTAGCCTTCTCACAAATTATAGCTTCACTAATGTTACCACCTGCCATTTCTTTCTCCTTTATCCACACTAAGAGTAAATTTTCTATCTCTTCAATCACATTACACCTTGCTTTGCTAAGTCTAAAGATTCCCTTTGCCACTTGCACAGTTTTTAACTCCTCTTTATTCTTCAAAATCGTACATATAGTCGATTTAGCCATCCCATACATCACTAAGTTTCGCAATGCTTCTTCCATTCTCACGTTTCTTTATAATTTCTTAATTAGTTTCAAGGGTTATTAGCTTTCTCACTTGCTTTGGACAATTCGTTGTTACAATTGTATACATGTATAACAAAATAGTTATACAAATAACGTGAATTTCCACATCAAAAGACGAAATTTCAACAATAACAGTGGTGCACTGGCTACACAATGAGACAAAGATGTCGCCTGACGCTCTTGTTGTGGGTCGCGGTACAACAATATTCATGCGCCAGGCGAAATAGTCCCGTATTCATCCGTGTTCGTTATAGCATTCTCAATTTTATAGGTAAAACCGTTCGTTATAGGAATATTCGTAGTAGGATCCGTTCGTTATAGCATACCCCACTGTATCCAAACAGCACAAGCATTCTTTGGGCATGAGCCTTTAGTTTAGGAAATGCACAGTCATTGAGAGGTGTAGAATTTGGGAAGAGGCACTGATTTCATCTGCTCAGAAAGCAGAGGATCACTTTGCAGGTCAATAAGCTCGAGTTTTAGGTCAATTGGGGTTTTGTCAACATCAAATGAAAAGGGAGAACACATCAAAGATAGGTCATTTTAAATTAATTTTAAATCTTGGAATCGGCGTGAAAGTTCGGCATGCAAGTCGAGTAGCTGCAATGAGTACGGTACTTCTGTACATTTTGATCACAAACTGCAATATGTTGTAAGGTTGCAAAGTGGGCAAATTGTTTGTTTGTTATCTGATGAGACAAAAGAAGTAATTTCTTCATAAAAGCCTTGACACTGTTGTATAAATCATGTGCAAAAGTCCCCTTCCCTTGTAGCTTTAAATTTAGGTCATTCATATGACCCATGATATCAACAGCAAATGCAAAATTGGAGAGCCATTTCTCATCATTTAACTGTGGGAAATCTATAAACTGTGTCATTTAATCCTCTTGCTCGAATGTAATTACCGGGTAACCACATTTACAACTTTGTCCACAATATGGCTTAAATTTAAAACACTCTTACGAAGGACTTCTTGATGAATAATGCAGGTAGAAAGACAATATTTTGTTTTGCATTTGTTTCTCTGACGACCTTGAATTTTTTTTTCAGCAATCCAAAATTTTTACCTGTCGGATTTGGCCCTCCATCGGTGGTCACATTTACCATTTTTTTTCCCCACTTTACTCTTAATTTCAAAATACAGTTATTTACTGCCTCCAATAAGTCTTCTCCAGTTGTTGTTCCTTTCTGTGGCTGCATTTATGCCAATTCTTCTGTGATCTCAAAATTTTTGGTGATGCCTCTGACATCACAACTTTCATCAAGTGCCAGTGAATAGTGTTCAAAAGTCCTCACTTTCTCTTTAAACTGCAGATACATATTCTCAGCGATGTCCTCTATATGTCTTACAATTGTTTGCCTTGACAAACTTACTTTCACAAACTGGTTTTTCTTGTCTGGACATAAAATAGAGGCAGAATCAGCCATACATTCCTTTATAAATTCTCCTTCAGAGAATGGCTTGCTGTTTTGGGCAATTTTGTGTGCAATCACATAATTCACTCTTGCAATATCATCCTGGGATGCAAATTATTTTTTGATAACTCTTTTCTGTTCTTGTAATTGAGCAACCATCTTGTTAGCTTTCTTCCTCCATTCTTCATCAGAAATTTATTGGAGTGCTTTGTCTCAAAATGGTGATTTAAGTTGTAATTTTTTTTTGCACTGCCACACTTTCTTTGCAAATTCAACACACTGCTTTTCCATCCATGTTTGTAAAAAAAATATTTAGAAGTCCATTCCTTGTTAAATGTTCTACACTGCTTCTGCTTTACTCTTCTTAGATTCACTCATTTTCACTTAAAAATTGTGGGTTGAGGGCAACAAAGTACAAATTCTACAAAACCACAATAACGTCCTCTTAAGTGAGAAGCAGAGAGAAGACCGAGTTTCTCTGGTGTTGGTGCTGGATGCCCAGGTCAGTGTGGGACACAATATTGAGGTGTGGGTGTGGCCATCCAGGTCATATGGTCAAGAATGGGTGTCTCAGGTAAGGATTTACTGACCTTCCTTTGCCTAATCCCTATGGATAACCATACATGGGGTATTCACAAGGCCAGGTCAGCAGGTGATAAGCCGGTCTTGCTGCTATGGGTGGCCAACTCCCACTAAATATTGATCCTTTCTAAGATTTAAAAAAAAAAATTCTACATTGCCACATGTAATGGCGGGCCACAGAAATAATCTGGCTGGCAAAATTCGGCCCTTGGGCAGTAACTTGTCCACCCCTGCCAAAGTGTGTAAGTGGGAGGGAAGGGACGGGAGTTTGGGATACCTGAAATGAGTTAAAAAGATCAACCTTGGCTAGTATTATGGGGCCTGAGTGCTTTGCACTGCTGCAAATCCTCCCCCAGGGACCAGCTGACCTAACCCATGTCATTACTGTTTAAATCAATGTTGATCACTGACACCTCTTATGTGTATGGTACCAGCAATAGGTTGATTCTGACCATGCTGTCAGGTGAGGCCAGTTTGCTGTTTTGATATCCGTGATGACCTGACAGTAATGCCCACAAAGGCACCACATTGGGCCCCTGATGGCCATTTTTAACTATTGTACTCATAATTATATGAAAAAAAAATGATTTAGTAGTTGGTACACACATGCCCATGCTAATTAGGAAATATTTTTATGTTTTAAGATGACACTGACCCACCTCCTTCATCCATGGATATCAACCCCTCAAAATTTTATACTTCAGTAATGTATACTGGCTAAGTTCCTACTAACACTATTTTACCATGAGTATGCTCGGATTGGCTAAGCACTTTCTGTATAATATGATGAGGGGGGGGGGGTCTGCCCCCCGGTGAAGAAGTTAGGCAAGGTTAGGTTGGTTTCTTTGGTTGGTTAGGTCAGGTTCTCTTAGGTTCTAGTAAATGTCGCTTCTTTAATAATGATAAGAACATCTGTGGAAAAAAAAAATCTAACAACTCATTCTGGTTAGGTATGTTTACAGCTACACAACGATTGACTCACGGCAAAATAAAGGTCAAATGCCGCCAGTGTCATGGTCAAATATTGTTCTCTCGTTGTTCGCTGGCTATGGACGATTAGCCAATCAGAAGACACTCATGGTAAAATAGCGTTAGTAGGAACTTAGCCGGTTACGGGAAAATATCCACTGCATTTAAATTAATGATAAAATGATTAACTTTCAACTAATTGTTATCATGTTAACATTCCAGAACAGTCATCAAGATGGAGGTACTGCAAGAGAAATTCCACAATATACAAGACTTTTATAAGTGGAGTTTATCCATTTCTGGTGAGTAAATCGTTCTTCTTTAGCTGCATTAGTTAGCTCTATGTACATTACCATACTGTATTCCAGTTCTGACTGTTTTATTAACCAATGAAGAGTTGTGTTTTACCAGCTTGTACTGTTGCAATGTAAAAGTTTTTTGTCTTTTGCTTTTATATTACTAATCATGTGTTTGCTTATATTTCATACGATTTGCTAGGTTCCTCAACTTTTATGGCAACAATATCCTGAGCTTGTGTAAGTGAAAGTACATAAGATTGGAAACATTTGGTAAGAGGGATAGTGTGGTAAGATGCTGGGCCAAAATAAAGGATTTTCTACTGGGCACAGCTGACAAGATGTGTGGCTGGACAAAGGGCTCAGCCATGCAGGCAGTAACAGGTGGAATGAAGATGTAGACAGAGTGATAAAGGAGAAGAGAAGATTGTATAAGGCTTGGAAGATGGGTGATAACAAGGAAGAGTACCTGGAGGCCAAGTGTAGGGTGAGAAAAGAGGTTTACAGGGCTAAGAAGCTTGAACAGTTACAGTATATTGAATAAGGCAGATGCAAGAGGAGAGGTTTTGAGAATTGCCCTGGAAACTTGAATGGTATGAACAAGGATATTGTTGGTGAGCAGTGTGTAAGAAATAACCATGGTGTCGTGGTTGTTGATAGAGAGGAAATTAAGGATGGCCGGAGAAAATACTGTGATTGGTTATTGAATGAGGATTATGAATGAGATGGGCAACCTAGGGATAATAGATCCAGTACGCAGACCATGCCCAAGGAATGAAAGAGAATGGGTGAAGAAAGAAGTTGATGACAATTATGAAGAATGGAAAGGTGGCTGGACGCTCAGGGATAGTTGCAGAAATGTTCAAAGCATCAGACGATAATGGAATGTACTGTTCCAGATGACTGGAGGGAGAGTGAGATTGTGAATGCTGTACTGTACTTACAAGGGTAAAAGTGATGCACTTGAACTCAAGAACTATAGGTGCTTGAAGCTGCTACATTAGGTTGTGAAAGTTGTAGAAAGAGTGACTTTCAAATTTATAAGGGAGAATAAACAAACAAATGCTGTTGGAGTTTATGCCAGGTAGGGGGGGACTACAAAGGCATAATTAATGGCCAAGTCACTACAAGAGAAATACTGTATCTAGGAAAGGAGAGAAAATTTACCTTCATATTCATAGACTTAGAGAAGGCATTTGATAGAGTACCATGTGAAGTAGTAAAGAGGGCAGTGAGAAAGCTAGGAATTAAGAAGCACTGTACTTTCTTAAGAGTAGTTATAACATTATATGAGGGCTCACAAACATTTGTTAGAGTAAATGGTGAGAAAATGGGGGATTTGAGGTTAAAGTAGGCATCCTTCAGTGGTCTTTCTTGAGCTCCATTCTATTTATCATGGTGCTGGAGTTTTATCGTGGGACTTTAAGACTGCCCTTCCCTGGGAATTAATGCTGATAATTGATGGTACGATATTGAAAAGTTAGTGGTGAAATTGAAGAAATGGAATGATAGAATGAAGGTAAAGGGTCTGAGAGTGAATGTGGTGAAAATAAAAGTACATTATGCCCAATGAGAGCCAGAAACAATGGGGGGGAAGATGCTGTGTATGTGACCAGGTGTGAGGTTGGGTGGGTCAAGGTGTTGCCGTGTTATCCAGTTTTGTACCTGTTTTTATTATGGATTCATTATGGTGATCTCGTATGATCAGCCTCTGATGATGTACAATTTAAAAAAAATATTATAACATCTTCAGTAATGGAAAATGCAGTACTGTACTGTATATAATTTGACTTGAGAATCTTGCTTGCTTGCTTTGATTTGCTGGCCGTCAACTGTAAGGGTATTACGGCCGTAGTTTTGTTGTTTTTATGTTCTCTTCCTTTTGTTCTTGGTCTTTTTGTTCTTTTGAACACTCCACCCACAAATATTTGGTCTGTTTCTAGGTCTGTGTACAGTTCTATAAACTCTGACAGTCTTAACCCTGAGGTCCCGGGTGACACTCCAGAATGTCAGACTAGCGCACCCCGGGTGACGTACCAGAACGTCCGCCTATTTTCCCACCATTTTTTTCTTTTCTTTTCATTTATTTATTTATTTATTTTTTGAAAAGTTGATTTTTTCTCGATTTATCCCCTAACTCAGGGCTTAAGGGTTAATATAGCTGGTTCTTCATGTTTTTCTTTTCTTCCATTTTCTTTAGTTCTTGTTTCTTTTCTTTCTCTTTTTCTCCTGTTTTCACTTCAAGGAGAGCCTTCTTGTAGCTCATCGTCTTATCGTATCTCACCTTGGCTACCTGACATTTGTCCCTCCACTTGGAACACTCCCGGTCAGAGCAGGTGTGAGGGCCCCCACAAGCTGCGCATTTCTTGATTTTTATCTTGCACTCGGGTATGCTGGTATCCATAAGATGCACATCTCGAGCATACGTCCTCTGTAGCCTTGCATTTTTAGCTGGGGGACCATACCGCTGTCACTTGAAGCGTCTGGTTGGTCATGGTATGTAAGGTTTCACTGAGATGGTGTCCCATCCCAGTGTAACAGTCATTGGAAGGTGGTGGAGAAATCTAACTGCAGCTGAGGTGGCTTTTCCATCTAGTCTGCTAAGTTTCTGTTCCACGATTATGTCGTCTCTTTCCTCTTGTAACATTTCCTACATTTCCTTCACTTCCATGTGTTGTATTTCAACGTAGGAAATGATTCCCCACACCCCATTGTCATCGTAGTTGATTTCCACCGCAATGGGGACATCATTAATAACTTGGACAGTTTTAAGTTGTTCCACCTGTCCCAAGCCACCAAAGTTGACCATGAGGCCACCACTCGGTTGAAGGACATTTGTAACCCCCTCTATACCTGAAGAAGTGAAAAAACTTCATGATGAGGAGGTTTAACTTTTTTGGGGGTGTAGAGGATAAAGGGTACAACCATACCACCATCACTAAGTCAAAGGTCCATGTTGTCCTCACTGAGGTCTTGTCTCGAATGTGAACCTGAGAATCAAAGGATAAACTGTAAGGAATGGTATTTTATTCCTTACCCCATCATCCTCCCTCTCTCTTATGTGTTCTTTCAGGCTAAAGGCTAATGAAAAATTTCTTTAAGACAGAAGCTATTTACATATGATGAAAATTTAAGTAAAACAAGGTACTGTATCAAGATTAAATAATAACTTTTTATATTAAAGTTATGGAGACTGAAACTTATAGAGCTGGGCTTAAGAGGAATGTGGATTGGAATCGTGACAATGCTGTTGGCACCTGTCACTGTCCATATATTTTACTGTGATCAGCCACTTATGGTGTATGATTTATCATAAATAATATAACTTCTTCAATAATTGAGATAATTCGATATACAGCTCCTCCTCGACTTACGACGGGGTTAGGGACCCAATTTCAGGTCGTAAGTCAAAAATGCTTAAATAATACAGTACATAGAAAATCTAAAATGGGTCTCTTTTTCTTCTCAGCACCACAAAACTCTCACTTGCCAGCCATTTTAAAGTGAATTACAAACGAAAATTTTGTCAGTACACAGCGCAATCACTAACGTTGGGACTCGAAAATGCGTAATTTGACAAAATTTTGGTGCGACTGAAGTGGTCGTATGTCCGGGTAGTCGTAGGTCGTGTATGTCATAAGTCGAGGAGTAGCTGTATTATATGTTTAACCTCAGCATAGAAGGCAAAGCTGTATCAAAGGCGGTGCCTCACTTTACCACCTACCTTCTCCCCTCTCCCTTTGGCAACAGTGTAGGGTAATGGAGAGTTTCAATACCTGTATATAAGACAGAAATAATTTATTAGATGAAAAATACAATAAAACAAGGTGTCAGGAGTAGAGAGTTCTACCTGCCAGGCCCTAGGAATAATATTCATTGATTGAAAAGACAGCTGGTCCAACCATATACTGTACAGTGGTCCCTCAGTTGATGAACTGTCCAATTAACGAAATTTCGTTTAACAAATTAGCTCCTATAAGGGTTTTCAGTTCAATTAACGAACAAAACTTCGATTAACAAAAGCCTTACGAGAAGCACGTTTTGTTGTGCTCATCAGCTGATTGGCTAGTCCGCCAATACAGTAATCGGTTCTATGTTTACATTCATTTCCAGTGGAGTAAATATCAAGAAGGTTGTGCTCTTTAATATTTTTTTATTTTTTATATTAAAATTATTAGTCATTCTGAAATTTATTTAACATCTTGATTATATATGCAGTACAGGGAACTAGTTTTTGTGCGCCCATCAGCCGCATGACTCACCCGCCAAAGCTTCTCTGTTTAACTTTGTTTACAGTGGAGGAAACATCGAGTTTGTTGGTCTTCTGAATATTTTTACATTTTTACATTAAAATTATTGGTCATTCTGAAATTTAGTTAACATAATGATAATATATAGTGCAGTGTTTATTTAGATAAAATAATCTTTAATTACAGCTAGTGAACTTAAAATTTTATTGGTGAAATTACTGCATCAAGCATGGGTCCAAAGAAATCTAGAAAGACAATTTCAATTCAAGTGAAACAAGAAATTATTAAGAAACATGAAGAAGGCATTAGAACCAATGTACTGAGTCAGTCCAGAGGTTCCTGACATTATTATGGAAGGTGACTCGCCTTCCAAGAAGCAGTAAAATGCTTCTCTTCTCCCTTCTCCACCCCCACTTCCTTCTCTTCTCCCTTCTCCTCCTCCACCCCCCACTTTTAATTCCCATCATCATCATCAACCAGCATCATTCTACATACACACCTCAAAGTAAGTGTACAGTACTGTACTCAATTTTGTTTATACTTAGTATGTACTGTACTTTTCTGTGAGTTGGAACCAATTACCCAATATCCCATTGAAATAATAGATTCGGTTTACAAAGTTTTCAGTTAACGAACGACTCTGTGGAACCAATTGTGTTCATTAACCGAGGGACCACTGTACTAAAATATTTGTTAATATGTTTGGTTTCTCTCTCAAAGAAATTGTGACTATATTTGAATTTGTGAAAGTATTTTTTTTAAGTACTGTACTGTACAGCATGCCCTGACAATTCGGGGATTTTTAATTCGTGTACCTCGATTATTTGCGGATGACACCCGGGATGTACCCAAGAATGTCTAAGGGTAGTTTTAAAGCTGCTGGAATTTTCACGGCAGGGACAGGGAGCCATTTGTTCTAGAGACAGTGATTTATTTTACCTGTATTGTAGTAGGTAGTAGGCAGCTACCAAACAGGGAGGTACTACCCCTTGGGAAGATATTGGAAGCATAATGTGTTGTCTAAGGGTAGACCCTGCTGCCATATGGCATCACAAGAATTGTGACCAAGTCCCAGGTTGCTGATCTGTCTTTCTGCCTCATTTACAATTAATTGCAGGGTCTCAATTGTTTCTCTTACTACTGACAACACAATATACAGTACGTATATTGTTTCTCACTACAGTGAACCCTCGGACTAAAAGGGGGGACCTCCTGTCCGGAAAAGCCGATTTTCCGGTGAATAATAAATGATATAAGAAACACCAAAAATACAGTACTAATGTAGTGATAAACAAATCACCATATATAAACCTTGCATTTACCTATGATAACACAATAAGAAACATTGTATCATCACTAGAGTGAATGAAATAATATTCCCGCAAACAACAATTGTCAACTCTGTTTATGTTTCCCACCTCCTCGGGCACCTGTGTCCAAGCAACTGAAAGGTCAAGCAGCACCCACTGGCTTAAAATGTTCTTTGCTCTGGTTTGTGAATGTTTCTTCGGGAAACTTCTTAGCCCAGAACCCCCAAATTTTTTGTCTGAATCTTTCAGATTTCCCAGATCCAGATCTTTGAAGGTTAACTGTATTAATTTTTTTTCTTTTTATGGTCCTTTGTTTTTATTATTATTATTATTTTCTTTGTATTTAATATTTTTTTTTTTTTTTTATTAATTATTATTATTATTATTATTATTATTACTGTTATATTTTCGTCCCCCAGGCCCTGATGTGGGTCAGTGACCTGTGCCCGGGTGAACTAATCCCCTAAAAAAAATTAAAATGGAGACACAAAATATTAAAATAAATAATAATGGGAAAATCCTCTCACAAATAATCAGAAACAAGACAACGAAATTTTGAAAAAATGCGAGTCTACCCTCAAGTCAACTCTGTGCTTTGTTATTAAAGTTAACTTTAATAACAATAGACGAAAGAGTATCACCACAGTATGGTGCTCATATAATAACTGATGCTGGTGAAATATGCTTGCCTTGTTTAAGCCTTCTTTCACTTTCAGATGTACAGCTCAATTTATGGCGGACTGAGCCTCGCTATGGAGGGGATGAAACGATTTCTACCAATAAGTTCAGGCAATGGCCTTCTTGTGATAGCTGTTTTGGTATCACTCTAATTGTTTTAATTAAGTTCTGGAACTCTTAGTGGCAGGGCTTGATGTAAACACTAATTGGCATTTTTTGTTTTATTTCTGAAGCAGGTACATATATACACAGGTACTACAATCTGAGAGGATGTATTGTTAATTCTCTCCAGGGAAGTGTTGTGAATAACACTTAGAGATAGCACTTAAGTGCCTAGCTTCCCTGTCCAGTGGTTGTAAGTGAACTGCTCCTTTCTGGGCGTGAGAGAGCTGGCGAGCAGGTGTTTATTAAGTCATCTAACCCTAGCTCAACCCCTGTGATAGATGCAACCTAAGTGATCTAGTCATGAATAACATATGAATAACTTAGTGTTATTCATTTGGGTGTATTTGTATAAAGCAAAGGTGCTGTTACACTCTCGTGACAACATCTAGTGCAGACAGTATGTTGTCAGTGTTGCACTTTGGTGTGAGGCACAATATGTGAGTCTTTTAGTGCTAAGGTTCTGTGTGAAAGCCTCTTGTAAGTTCAGGAAATTTTTGGGGTTTGACTAAATTGTCTTCAGTAGTACTATATTACTTCATCTTCATTTCCTTGTAACCCTTGAATTATTAGGAGCCATGATTTATATGCTTTTTTATATTTTTTTCTCTATAGAGCTGAGCAGTGAAAGGTTACAGAAATACTTTGTAATGGATACAAAATATGTAAGAAATTGCTGGTATATTTACAATCGGTTGTAATAAGTAAAGTTTTGTTACCCTTAGATGACCGTGTGAAGGATTGGCCTCTCATGTCTTCTCCACTTCCCACGTTGGGTTTCATGACAGCCTACCTCACCATGGTGAAGATTGGACCTAAAATAATGGCATCAAGGCCAGCATTGCAACTGAGAATCCCGCTTATTATTTACAACCTGGCTGTTATGTTACTGAATCTTTATATTGGTGTTGAGGTGAGTTTACAGTTACTTCACTGTTCATATTCATGTTTACTCCCAGACAGTCGTTACTAATTCTTCTTACTGGTGTTGATAAAAGGTAATTCTTCTTTGAATAATATCAGCATTCTTGCTCTTATTATCTTGCTTATTTATGAACCTTAAGTTATAGTTCATGTAAGTAAAGGCGCGATCACACTAGCATGTTCTGTTATCAAAATCATTGAAACTATTTCATCGACAGGCAGTAAATTGGCGATTTCGTTGACCCAGTAGTCACACACACACAAAAGAGCCAACGTATAGTCTTGCTGTCCGTTTCAGCAACCAGAACAAGCAAAGGCAACCACGGATGTGACTGCAGTGGCTATCACTGCCTTAAAGACATATACAGGTCAGTTAAAGAAGATTAAACACAAGAAAAAAAGGCATGTGGGTATGTTTCTGGCTGTCAAGAAGAGACAGCAAGGGTATTTACCATAATATAGTGCAAGAAAACTCCCAATCATTCTACCATTTTCAGCGCATGAGAAAAGCCAAATTTCAGGAATTAATATGCCAAGTGATGCCACTCATAGCTGGAGAATCTGTATTTACTTTGAAAAAGTAGAGTTGAAGATCAGATTCCCACATCACTGTTTTGTTGTGTCAATTGAGATCTCATCTTGATTTCTATTTTAGTAAAAACAATACAGTAGTACTGTTATAATTTTAGCTTGTATATCATGCATGTAATACAGAAGAAATGCTTCAAATGAAGAAAATTTGGGGGCATAAATGAGGATAATTTATGAAGTATATGCAAGTAATCTTTCCATTAGCCAGAATCCCTGGTCCCCAGAATTCGAATGGCTGGAATTGCTTTTTGAGCCAAATTTTTTTGGGAATACTCTCTCCATTCCAGGCATGAGAACGAGTTTCCGAGAATGAAAAGTTGGCTAATTTTCTTGAAAATTTCTGAGAAAATAACTCCAAACCTCTCCATTCTGGGCATGGGAAAATTTTTTTTGGCAGTTCCAAGAAGTTGCGCAATGTTTGGATGCGTCCCCACATGCCAAGTGCATGGGTGGGCTAGCTGCTTGGGGAACAAAAATTTGTGTCAACCGCGGTATTGAATTTCAAATATCCGCGGATTAGTGTGGCTTTATTATCCCTCCACGCTCTAATGTATTCCTCTGTAAATGTGAGGCATTGATAAAAAATACTAATAAATAAGATAAAATTAAAATTACTGTATTGCCATTAGGCAATTGTTTCATTAAGGGCACGGGAGACTGTGCTCCCCCCTCCCACGATCGTGGGCTAACTCCCGCGGACATCAGAAAGTTTTAGTCTTTACGTTTTTGACCTTTTTTTTCCATGTTATGTAAGAACGATTGTGTGCGTATAACAGAGTAAAAAATTAATAAAATTACGTATATCTACCCAAAATACAAATTGAAAAATAACAATAACACAGCTTGGCCTGGTAGGGGGGTGTAGCCACAGGGACAATCTAACTTGACAACCTGCCAAGTCCACACACACACACACACCTGCACTTACACACACCTGCACACACCTGCACACACACATGCACACACACACATACACACACACATACATACATACATGCACAAGCACACACACACACACACACTCACACAGTAATGAAAGCTTTTGTTAAATGACCCACTCATCCCATGTCTTTGTATGTAGTAAGTCATTTTTGTCCATTGTATATTTTCAGCCTTCGGTCTGCCGAACTTTTTCAATAAACCGTTGATTAAAAACACACACACAAACACACACACACACCACTTACATGTGGCAATTCTAAATGGAATGCGACATAGAGAGAGGCCTCTGCTGCACAGCAAACATGCTGCAGTGAGTGTCAGACATCACTTACACAAAACAATTTACATTTACATAATTCTACACTATAATTTTACTATTTATTGTCCTCAATTATGTAGATATTATTCACTGAGGCACTTTTTAGGAGTCGACACATGACACATGCTTTCGGGTAAGGCACAAATATATACAGTGCAGTTTTACCACCAATACGCTGTCACATTGCCACCACCACATCATGTTCTGTTGGTACAGTTCCCTAAAATAATGAAAATTTTAATATATTTACACTATTTTTTAAAATCTTTTCTGTGCTTCAGTAGTTTTGAAGGATGTGGTATTGTTGAAAACGGAATCGGGCACAGAGCAACGTCACACTGAGTACACTGATAGCAAGTGTCTTTGCTTGCTTTGGCGCGGATTTCACTCGTACGGCACACATGACATTTTTTCTGTGAATACAGTTATGCCCCAGTGGAAGGAATCGCTGAAGGGAAGTGTTGAGCAGTCAGTCGCAAAGGGAGTTCACTACCACATCCAGGTCTCTGACGAGGCACTGCATTGGTCTCCAAAAGCTGCCCTACCACATTCATTGAAATCTCGTGGAGTGTAGGTTTTTTACCTGTCTTCACTAAATGAAGAGTGTGCATTCAGAAGGGACATTTCCAAACGATGGAAGAATAGTTTTTTGAACCATTTCATGGTCTTACATGCACAATCTATACTGGAGATCACGCTGTCAGACTTGTCAACCAGAAGCATGTTGGAGGTGTAGTCTGTGACACAGTATGGCTTGTGGAGCCTCATCCTGGTCTTGGGGTTGATGTTGTGGGTGATGGAGTGATGCATTTGATGATGGATTCATGTGTATGGTGTCAGGGTCATTGACATCATCAGAATCACTCAAATCACTGTCTGTTCCTAATGGCTCCTCAGCATCACAAGGAGCATCTTCATCAAAGACAATAGAGTTTATTTTGGCGTCACTGATAGCACGATCATGACAACATTCTTACAGAGTGGGACAGGCGAAGGTACTGACATGTTGCCAAGAAACACGAAGCCTTGTCACATGATTGCCTGCAGGGGTGTATGCCAGACAACTCAAGTTGTTTATTTATAGCTCTAGAGCTCATAGAGTTAGCGGGAATTAAAAAAATTTCAAGGACGTTAACGTAATCAATAAACTTGGGTTTTCCTTACCTTAGTGGACGTTAATCTACGCCCCAAACCACGTAGGGGTTAATCCAGTGACCTCTCAGTTTATAAATATAAACCTCTAATGTTTTTCTTGTTTACAGGCACCTTTTATATTGATTATGATGCAAAAAGGAGTTCAGCAAATATATTTTTGCGAGTCGCACAATAAGTGTCAAAGGTGTGGTTCACCAGTTGTGGTTTGGCCACCCATGTTATATACTATGGGTGACCTGACTTTGCATCAGGTCAGGTCAGTAAAAAGAAACCTAACCCTTGTGGTTGGTGAGGGAATACTGTATTCTGAAATAATACCTTATAATTTCAAAGATCAATGTGGGTGATGGAGAATCGTCCGAATTGACAACGTTTGAACAGTGATAATTGTGGACTACTCTGAGTGTCAACTGTCCCTGTGGTGACTGGGTGTTGTCTGTTGTGACAGACAAAGTTGCTGGATTTGTAGATTCCCATCAATATTTGAGGTGTGTGATTGCGCCTTTAGACTTTTTTTTTTTTTTTTTGCCATTTGGGTAAATGTAATGCTCTTATTTATTTATTTTTTTAAAATCTGCTTTTGAACTGTACTGCTAACATTCCAAGTATCATTGTACATAGCACAGCTTAAGTTTACTACCTGATGGTGAAAAGTGAAGCAGTGCAGAGAGTGAGGGTACCTAGGAAAATAGTTGCCATCCTAGTCAAAGGAAATAATGTGGTGGATGAAGTAGCTATTAAAATTTTGGATTGTTTAGCCATAAGGTTAAGTAGCTTTTTATTTCCTTCAGTACTGTATTTCAATATTGAATATATTTTGTTAACCTTATTTCTCCTGTAGCTGGCAGTGGTGTCTGTGAGGCTGCAGTACAGTTGGTTCTGTCAGCCAGTTGACTATTCCACAAATCCTGATGAGATGAGGGTAAGTGTTTTGGCAAATTACTTATTTACAGTGAGTTCTGCTATAACGCGTGTTTTGATAACGCGAATTTGCTCTAACGCGATTTATGAATTAGGAACGATATTTGTATAACGCGAACGCTTGCTTGCTATAACGCGATTTTTGCTTACTCTTTCTCCAATTTTGTGGTACAGTGGGGTATGCTATAACGAATCTAATTGGTTCTAGAACCTTGTTCCTTATAGCATTCGTTCGTTATAGGATTAATCCGTTCCAGGCCCCCAAATACAACCACTTAACACTGAAAAATATAATATAAATTTTTAAAAATTGTAAAAAAGTGCATAAATATGCATCTAAACCCCTGAAATAAAGAATATCATTAATATTTGTAATAAAAAAACAATAAATTAGAAAAAAATTAAATAATGTTCGTTGTAGGAGTTTCGTTCGTTATAGCATTCTCAATTTTATAGGTAAAACCGTTCGTTATAGGAATATTCGTAGTAGGATCCATTCGTTATAGCATACCCCACTGTATTAACTGTGAATATAGTAAAGAAGAATATCAACAAGAAGCGTTCTGGTGATAGAATTCCCGGTGATGATCGTAAAAGAAAGGATATAACACTTGAAGAGAAGCTCGATTTTATCAACCTCAAAATCACCCTTCTCCCCCATCAAGTAAAGTGTTACATTTACTGTATGATTTCATTATTAGATATGAATGTAACATTTATTTAGACTGTGCTATCCTTTGTGTTAGGCTAACTACTAAATTTTTTCGATTTCGAGTAATCTGCACCTAACCCTATTTTCTCCATAAGCCCTGTTATTTCTATTACGCGATTTTCTATAACACGATATTTTACAAGAACACAATTATCGCGTTATAGCAGAACTACCTGTAAATGTTAAAAGTCAAACTGACTTGATTTTTTTCCCACTTACATTATATTACTTTAATTATTCATTTAAGCTTCTTATTTTACTCTCAAAGAAAAAAAGGTTGAAAAAAACATCTTTTCTGACATTGCAGTAATACTGTACATTGAATTACTGTACAGTTAAACAGCCAAAACATTGTAAGACTGGCCTGATTTGCATTGGTAGAATACAATGTAAACTCAGTGGTGAGCTTGTTGGGTTGACAGGGCTGACAAGTTACAGTACTGTGTTTCAGGATTTGTAGATGTTCAGTTTAGTTGTGCACATCTATGAAACAGAATTTTCTTAAAAAAAATTACAAAAGTAAAGAATTGTATACATGTACTGTACAGTACTGCAGCAGGACCTTGACTTTCATGAAAATCCCATTGAAGCACAAAGCCATGAAATGCAAACTTTGGTCTAATGGGGGATACTGTAATAAGTTTTAGGGACATCAGCTCCAAATTTGTCACCCTGTTTTGCCAAACTGAACCCTTAAGTAATGTGCATGTACAGTACATTGTTTATGTATTACAGTATAGTATAGTCTGCATTTACGCGGTCAATTGAACCCGTGGAGGTCCCCGTAAAACGAGAAACGCGTAAATGAAATAATAGAACATATGGGATTAATTGAAATAGAGGCTGGGCCTACCCCCAAACTCCACTTTTTCCGACACAATAAGTATGTTTTAGTAAAAATAACATCTTAATTTTATGATGGTATGCACACACAATTAATATTTAAGAGAAATACAGTCGCCCGGTTAATGTCCATTCAAATAATGGACTCAACCCTCCCCCCCCTCTTCTTCCCACGCTCGCTGGCTCCTCCCTCTCTGAGAAATGTTTGGGTGAAAACAGTAGGCTTACATTTTTAGTAATAAATAATACCTCAGACTAAAGTTAGGATAATATAATTGACATTGCTGGATTCCTTGCAAGACAAGGAATATTTTGAATATAAATGTCATATGTTTTGCACAAAAGATAAAATTTTTGCTCTGTAATAATATTCTTAAATTAGATCTAAAATTTGTATGTCTAATGCAAATTTTATGATGTTTATATTTAAAATAATCACCATCTTATAAGAATTCCAGCAATGTAAATTATATATTTTATGGGCTAAAAACAAATATCTTCAGTAAATACAGTAAACAAATTATACTTCACCCACGTAAATGATGAAATTTACCGCGCAATTAAAACATTTCATTCTGGCAAGGTGCCGCATAAATGACCAAACGCGTAAACAAAAACCACGTAAATCCAGACTATACTGTAGTGTATTTATTTTCCTGAGAAAAGGTTACATGTACTGTATTATGAATGTGAAATGAACCTTATTTTCTTGACCAAAAAGTTGTTAAGATTATGAAACTTACCTTTACTCTAGTAATGATGGTAAACTTGAACTGTGATGGTGATGATAAAGATGAGTTGAAGGTGATGATGTAGGGTTTTATGGCCTTGGGTGGGGGTTATCAAGAGGGGAATTGTGTTGGTGGAGGTGGTAACGGAGGGAAAATTTGAAGACTTTGGTTTTATTAATAAACTGATAATTTTTTAATGTTGGCCTTTTTTTAAATTAATTATAAATTTCCCATGATAGAGCCACTAACAGCCTGAATTTCTCAATTTTAAAGATTTGAGCAGTAATTCTTTTGTCAATTTAATGCCATTTATAGCTTTGATAAACACATTTATCCAGCAATTGAATGAATCCCTATCTTGTGATGCAACTCAAAAAGTATTTTGGAAGATTAACATAAATTTGTTCATTGAGCCAAGGAAGGTATTTGATAATACAGGTTGTACCTCTCTAGTCCGGCAACCTCGGGACCTGGCCAGTACCGGACCATGGAAATTCATCCTTTTCCTGGATAGATAGTGACTTGTGCTTATGCTTGGAAGCACTAGCACCACTTTCTCTGCATCATGGTCTCTTTGAAGACATATTGAAGGGTTAAATGTCATATAGTAGCTTCTCAAATTTCGTGAGTTTTTAATTCTTAACGTATTTTATTGGAACACAAAAAAATAAATAAATAAAAATTTTGACAGCGGAAACTTGAATTTCGACGGGTTTGAACGACCCGTCGACGTGCATAATCGTGTAAACAGCGTCATTTCTCTTATGTACAAAAGATTCATTATTGTTTATTACTGAATGTCTTTTTTATTTAATTGATGTTTATGTGTTCAAAATGAGCAATACAATTCATTAATAATACGTAGAATATTAAAACACATGAGGAAATAAGACAGCATTGTTTTCGTTGATTACAAAACCAGTGACTGACTGGTTCTACATATAAAACTGAAGAAAATAAGACCTTGGTTGCAGCTGTAGTAAAACTAATATGGTTGTTTTAAGTAATGTTATTTAATGTTAATAAATGGAACAATAGAAGTAGCTAACGATAATGGTAAAGAAAAAAGAGAGATCGCGTATGTAAGTGCGCATGCACACACGTGAAAAAAGATCGTCATTACTTTACATAAGAATATGAAAGCAACACTTATTTACTGTGCATATATATTTAATTTAATGTTTCTGAATTTTTTTTTATTGAATTAATGTTTGTGTGTGCAAAATTAACAATACTACAATTTATTAATAATACGTGGAATATTAGAGGAGACTAGACGGCTGCCGGCATTGTTTATGTTAAAGCTTACAAAACCAGTGACTGATTGGTTCTACATATAAAACTGAAGAAAATAAAACCCTGATTTTAGTTGTAGTAAAATTAATGTAAAAAAATTAATATGGTTGTTTGAAGTACCTGTAATGTTATTTAATGTTAATAAATGGAACCATATAAGTAGCTAACCATTAGTGGTAAAAAAAAAGTGAGACTGCGCGTATGTAAGTGCGCACATGTGAAAACATATCGTCATTACTCTACATAAGAATATGAAAGCAACACTTATTTACTGCTCATATATATTGAAGGGTTAAATGTTGTACTCTGTATCAACAAGCAGAGAGAGAGAGAGAGCAGTCGAACTGCCGGATGTAAACAAACCTTAATTTCCCGCGGCTTTGTTTTTTTGTTTTTTTTAAGGGGATTAGCCCACCCGGGCATAGGTCACTGACCCACATTGGGGCCTGAGGAGCAAAAATTTAATACTCCTGTAATAATAATAGTAATAATTCAGATACGTTAAAAAAAAGAAAAGAAAGGAAAGCTGCCTATCTACCTATTGGACAAACTAAAATCGTTCCGGACCACGGGAGTTTCCAGACTACAGAATGCTGGACTAGAGAGGTACAACCTGTACTGTATACAGTATAATAATCTTTAAGCAAATGATGGTTGAGGCTTTCTTTTGGCACATTTTACATGCTGACTTTATTGTCTATTATTGATACAAAACATGATTAATTTGCCAAACCAAAATGAGCTAGCAAAACTGAGATCGTAACAGAACCTGAATGTCATGTACATTATATGTACTGTACATGTCTTTCAGTAGTAATTGAACAACAGAGCACTGATGGTGAATCTCTTGACCCTCCTACCAATAAATAACCGGGTCTCACATCAGTGTTCTTATCCAGCATTTAGGTCAGATGCTTGCATTACGCTACTCAGTATAATCCAGTACTGTACTGCAACAAAAGGTCTGTGCTGATGACAAATGGAAGGGAGGTGTATATGGAACTGAGACAGCAGGTTAACTAATGGACCAAGCCTTCTATATAGGCAAGGATGAGAAATAACCTGGGCCTCTGCCCAGTGGTCTAGAACTTTGCATTGACATTTGTTAACCAAGTGAAAGGCTGTAAACTGCACTTGTGTTAATCCGACAGGACCATGTGATGTCCCACATGTCAAACTCCCTGGGCAGGATAGACTGATGACTGATCAGGGGGTGCTTTCATGGAGGCATCACAATGTATGCTGATGACCTATAGGTTCTAGATATGCATTTTGCATGTTTTTGTGCACTTTGCTTGTTCTGAACTTGATGTAAATAACTAATGATTATACTGTACTGTACTGTGCTTCTCAGATAGCAGCAGCACTTTGGTGGTATTACTTCTCCAAACTGGTTGAGTTTACCGATACACTATTCTTCATCCTGCGTAAGAAGACAAATCAACTTACCTTCCTTCACATCTATCATCATTCCACCATGTTCTGTCTATGGTGGATTGGTATCAAATGGGTAGCTGGGGGTTCCTGTAAGTATATATTTCTATATCAATTTGATTATCTCAAATGATGAAAAGTTGTACAGTATCTCAAAAAGTATTTGTCCACACTGTGTGAAACATTATGAGACCACAGGTGATTGATATTAGGACTTGCATTAACTTTGGTATATGCAGTAGTTTAACATAAGTAATGCAATGTGTATTTATTGTGTCATAATTAATATGATGTTCAGTTACTAAATGCAGTAGGATCAGTATGCCACAAAGCCATTCATACCAACCTTCCCGGGACATCATGAGTTGCATGTAGCCTTTCGGAAGTCATCGGACCCACCCTGGCAGATACTTTTTTGAGATACAGTACTGTATTTCTTAGAGACTGTTCTAGCACAATTATATATGTATGACTCCCCAATATAGTACTCAGTAAGTTCAGTAATCCCTCATTACATTAGGGTCAGAGGCTATTTTTCTGTCCTCTTAATATGCAAACATTACTGTTGTGACAAACTTGCCAGCTTCCACATCCCTAGAGAGAGGAATTCTTCACTGGTGTCATTGAGAACACAAGTTATGTTTAGCGGAACAATTGGTGCCGAGCACTTCCGGGAATGAGAGATTTCCAGGTAATGAGACGACACACTCTCTAAGCCGGAAAAAATCCCTCGTCCCCGAAATTTTCGGGTAACGGAAAAATGTTCTCGGAGTTCCAGAAATTGTGCATTACATCATCTCTCAAACCCAGTAAAATGTCCCCCCTTCCCCGGAAAATTTGTCTGGGAATTTCCGGAAAATGCACCTGATTTTCATCTCTCAAACATGGAAAAAAAAAAAACCCATCACCGGAATTTTCCGAGTACTGGGAAAATGTTCTCAGAATTTCCCAGAAAATGTGCCCCTCAGAAAATTGTTCTCAAAGCCAGAATTTTGTGGAGTGATTTTCCAATTTTATTTATTTTTTATGGAGGCTATTGCTATATGGCTTGGATATCCTCCCTTCTCCTTTGGGGTAGCAGTAGATGCCTGGAAACCAAATGGGGGGTTGCACCTGAAATTTAATATCATGACCTATCACTTACCTTGAATTGTTCATAACCTGCTGTGGTAGGCTTAGTTTCAGTTACTTTTTTAATTTTAATGGTAACCTATTCTTTCAACTCCCCATTTACTATGATTCTGTAGTTATGACTGAGGGATGGACATTCTTTGGACTAGTCCACAGCCATCAATGACAAGGGTCTATCAAGTCTTGACTCTGTGATTTGGTGCACAGATGCCATTTACTATATAAGAGCCACCTAACTACAGGCTCGTTCAGAAAAAGGGATTTTAAGATCAATCCTCAATTGAGTTTAAAAGAAAAATTAATGATGTATTTGAATTATTTTCAGCTTTCTTGGCCGCCATGATGAACAGCTTTGTGCATGTAATCATGTATGCCTACTATGGCCTTTCAGCATTTGGTCCATCCTTGCAGAAGTACTTATGGTGGAAGAAACACATCACTTGTATTCAACTGGTAAGTGATTAATATACTACCAAAAAATAGCTAAACTTGTAGTTGTTGCTCTTTTATTAACAATCAGTTCTGAGGAGGAGAATACGATGCATAAGCTCCCAGTAAATCATTCATTACCACATCTTAAGTTATTACTAATCATTATAGAACTCTGAGACTATGTGCATCATGATTAATTTTATTGTACAAATGACAGCTGCATATACAAAGACTGATCTTAATGCTAACCTGCCTCCCTGGGTTTTGACCAGATATCTACAGATAGTTATAAGTGAGGGACTGACACTAAATTTCAATTCAGTAACAACTGCAAATATTGATTGGGAGACTCACATCACACCATCCTCCCTTTGGGTATTTAGGTAAGCTGAAAACTGAGTTGTTGACTTGGCTTCTCCTCTTTTTGGCGTGGGATTGCAGTAGCAGCAATTGCAGTTGTGTGGTGGTGGTAGTACACTTAGCTCTCGGTCTCTGGTAACTGACTCACCATTGTTGAGTTTGGAAGGATACTATTTTATATGTTCTTTGGTTTTTACTGGGTATCTGGAATATTATCCCAGTCACATAGGAACCATAGGGTGTCTATCAGCAAGCTTGTTCATGCAGTACATGAGTTGCCTGATCTTTGTTTGGTTATGGAATGGAATTTTGGGTTCATTTTGCCCTCTCAGTTACTCTATTTGTCTCTTGCCAGTGGAACTTTACTTTCCTCTCCTCATTTAATTGGGGAAAGGAGTCCTGTAGTGTTACCCATTACCATATATACTACAGTGCATTTTTTCCCAGCTGAAAAAAGATGCTCTGCCCCTTTCTCAAGACTTACAGCTGATTAGCGGTTTCAAATCTGTCCAATTTCGTCCTGAAGTAATGATGTGTTTCTAAATGACTTTATTCATAATCGTTGGGATGACCGTTTCTGAAGAGAAAGATGTTTAGCTAAATTATATAAAGATACATGCATTCATTATTTTAAACATAAGCACGCAGGAAGTTTATCAGACGTATTATACAATACATGAATTAACTGTTAAACTCTGGTAGCAAATTCATGCTTTTGAAGGATGCATTTAATATATACTGTACAGTAGAATGTCGATTTAAAGCGATTCAATTAAGATTATTGATTTAAAGCGACACCCAAAATTAAGGACAATGTTTTAATTTAAAGCGACTCTTTCCTATTTTGCGCGAGTCAATCTGGCGCATCATATTTTAAAATTCGTGCCTAATGTTTCTCTGGGCACGCTGCACTGTCCTAAGGGCAAAGCTGTACTGTACATGTATTCAAAATAATGTACTAAATAATTACTAAAATTTTTGTCTAGTGCAAACTATAGCATGATTATATTCAAATTAATCACTATCTTATAAAAATTCCAGCAATGTAAATTATATTCTCCCTGGTCACTTCTGTAACATTTTATAAATATAAAACATAAACTCAATCTAAAGGACAAAAATAAACAAATAAATACTTCACTAGACCTTCGGTGCCAACTGTCAAACATGTCACTGTCACCTCCCTCCTCCTCCCCCCCTCCTCCCCCCCCTCCAATCTTCCCAGCCAGGGTTGGGTGGTTATGGGCTTCCATTTTTTACCTTTTATAATATCACAGTCTAAAGTTAGGAGAATATAATTTACATTGCTAGAATCCTTGCAAGACAGTGAATAAATTGAATATAAACGTCATATATTTTGCACACGAGATAAAAATTTTAGTCCTTTGTAATAAAGTTAGAACTAAAATTTGTATGTCTAATGCAAACTATAGCATGTATATATTCAAACTAATCACTATCTATAAGAATTCCAGCAATGTTAATTATATTCTCCCATGTCAGTTTAGTGACATTTTATAAGAGAAAAACTTAGTCACTCATAAAGACAGACAAATAAATAAGCACTAGACCTTGGCATCAGCTGTCAAATAGATCACCACACCTCCCTCTCTGCCTCCCATCTTCCCATCAGCTGATCACTAGTAAACAGACCATTTCATGTCGCATAATTTTCACTGTTTTGATTTATGAGTGTTTGTTTTAACATAATACCGTACTACAAAAAACAATGTTTTGTTTATTTTAGGAAATGGGCTGAGGTGCATCTGGGTAGACTCTCAGTCTTTTTAGTATTTTGTGTTTCTCTCAAGTACCAAACTAAATTATTCCATTGAAACAACACTTCGATTTAGTGCAAATACGGTTTAAAGCGACCTCTCTTGGAACGTATCTCATTTTATATCGAAGTTCTACTGTACTTATTTTTACCCACACTAAGGCATACTAAGACAAATTACATATCATTAATACTACATTATGCAAAAAACTTGCATTTTAAAACATCAAAATCACTTTGAAATATTTACACGGCCATCAGTTGAGGCGGGAAATTTGAATTGTTCGCAGTCATATTTCCCGCCTCTGCTGACGGCCATGTAAATATTTCAATGTGATTTTGATGTTTTAAAATGCAAGTTTTTTGCATAATGTAGTATTAATAATATGTAATTTGTCTTAGTATGCCTTACTGTGGGTAAAAATAAGTACTATACAGGGTATATTAAATGCATCCTCCAAAAGCGTGAATTTGCTACCAGAGTTTAACAGTTAATTCATGTACAGGTATAATGCTTCTGATAAACTTCCTACGTGCTTATGTTTGAAATAATGAATGTATGTATCTTTATATAATTTAGCTAAACATCTTTCTCTTCAGAAACGGTCATCCCAACGATTATGAATAAACTCATTTAGAAATACATCATTACTTCAGGACGAAATTGGACAAATTTAAAACCGCCTATCAGCTGTAAGTCTTGAGAAGGGGGCGGGGCATCTTTTCTCAGCTGAGAAAAAACGCACTATACCCCTCTGCTAATATCCAGAGAGCAATTTTGAGTTTAAGGCTTGAATAGACCAAGCAGAGGCAAAATGACTTTGTACTGATTATTGTAAACATACTGAATGTCATCTGATGGGGTAGTCAGGTTAGGTTTTAAAATGTGTTGACCTTTGCAGATAACTGGACAAGCATTTTGCAGATCAGTATATCATGTATTATTACAGAATCATGAATACTGTACATGATTTAGGGCCACTAACCTCCTGTCTTATTTTAGTACTGAATATTGTTAGTTAAATAGGTAAAGATCTAGATGCACTTAGGAATTTAAGCAAGTAATTAATAATTTAGGAAAGATTATGCTAATTGAAGTTAGTTTTTGGCTTGCATCTTGTTATCACTAATACATAGACTGAGTTTAGTAAATATCTTGCTTTGTGTTATTTATCATATTGTCTTCACCACTTGACCCAGAAATTTTTGGCGGGGCATTCATTACCTTTAGTGATAGTCTAGTCCTCTGATATGTACTCACAATAGTTTAATATTCAAACAGGAGTCCAAGTGCTTTCACTTACAAGCTAGAAATATTAGTTCTCAACCTTTAATATGCAAAGTAAGGTGTAGTTATACATAGGGAACAGTGACTGCTGCATCACTGTTGTTGCTGTTGCTTCCAGATGCATTTTCTTTGTTAGATAACCTCCCCAACATGAAAGAGGCTAATATTAAGATGTAATCATAAAAATATTATGTTTCTTGCAGATTCAGTTTGCTAGTGCAGGAGTGCTAGGTGCCCGAGCAATTGTTGTTGGATGTGACTTCCCCCTGTGGATGCAGTATGCCTTAGTGGTGTACATGTCTAGTTTCATTGTGCTGTTTGGCCAGTTTTATGTGCAAGCCTACAGACTTAAGGTATATATCAATTGATATGTATATATATATATATATATATATATACATATATACAGTAGTACCCCGATTTATGCGGTCAATTGAACCCACAGGGTACCGCGGAAAGTGAAAACCGCGTAAAGTGAACAACAGAACATATGGGATTAATTCCAATAGAGACTGGCCCGACCCCCAAACTCCACTTTTTCCGACACAATACCTATGTTGTAGTAAAAATAACATCTAAATTTTATGATGGTATGCTCACACAATTAATATTTAAGAGAAATACAGTCGCCAGGTTAATGTCCATTCAAATAATGGACTCAAATCCCCCCTCCCCCCTCTTCCCAGCTCACTAGCTCCTACCTCTCTGATTAATGTTTGGGTGAAAACTCTAGATTTTAACGTTTAGTAATAAATAATACCTCAGACTAAAGTTAGGATAATATAATTGACATTTCTGGATTCCTTGCAGGTCAGGGAATATTTTGAATGTAAACTTCATATATTTTGCACAAAAGATAAAATATTTGCTTTGTGTAAACCAAATTATTACATTAGATCTAAAATTTGTATGTCTAATGCAAAATCCATGATGTTTATATTCAAAATGATCATCATATTGTAAGAATTCCAGCAATGTAAATTATATTCTGGTCGAGTAATTTGTATGAATTTTATGAGCTAAAACAAATATCTTCAGTTAATAAAAAAAAAATATTCTTCACGACACTATCTGTCAATCAAAGTACCCCACCTTGCCTCCCCCCTCCTCACACTCGCGCCAGCTGGGTCGGTCCCAACCCTCCCCCCCACCTTCCCTCCCTTCCAGATGGATTTGGAAAGCCAACGTATATGTGGGCACTCAAGGAAACATTGCGTCATTTATCTTATTAAGAATATGTACAAAAGATTCATTATTGTTTATAATTGAATATGTATTTGGTTGAATTAATGTTTATACTGTACGTATATGTAAAATGAACAATACAATTCATTAGTAATACGTAGAATATTAAAACACACAAGAGGAGACGAGTTGGCATTATTTTTGTTAGTGTTTACACCCGTGACGATGGTTCTACACAAGAAACTGAAGAAAATAAGACCCTGGTTGTAGCTGTAGTAAAATTAATGTAAAAAAAAAATATGTTTGTTTTAAGTACAGGGTAATGTTATTTAATGTTAATAAATGGAACAATAGAAGTAGCTAACCACTAATGGTAAAGAAAAAAAGCAGGACGGATTGGGAACGCCAACGTTTGTAATTGCGAATATGTGAAAACATATCGTCATTTCTCTACATATGAATATGAAAGCAACACTTATTACTGTTCATATATGTTTTAAATAATATTTACGAATGTAAAACAAAAATTCTACTCACCAATAGTGGTAAAGTCTAAAACATATGGACAGCCAATGATGATGTGTGAGTTTTTACTCAGATGACGAAGTCATCAGGTTCAACTCTGGCTGAAGCTGCAGCTTTCCATAAAGATATCATAGCTGATGCTGAAATTGTTACTGAACCTGAAGTTGTTGCTGAAACTTCTGCTGATGCTGAATTTGATGGTGTAGCTGAAGTTGATGGTTTAGGCCTTCGAATAATAAAGCTGTCGAAAAAACCTTGCACAGCTGCTTTCTTTTCTCAGTACAGTATACATCTTTATGTAGAGGTCATTTGCATTTATTTAAATTGTAATGCTTTGTTTTGTTAATGGCTTCACTTCAGAATATTCTTTTTTTAATTTGTATAATACATGTCAGAATTTAGTTATTATTTACGTATATGAAAATGTGTTTTTATTTAATTTTTATTCTATTTTTGTCGTAAATACGAAGAAAATAATGGTGTAAATTGATTTGGGTCCTAAATTAACCAGGGTCTTAAATATGAATCGTTGATAGTAGAACCATCGTTATCAGAGGCTTTCCTGTACTGTAGTTGTACATGTTACTTCTCCATTTCTTATACTTTTTTACTCTCATTTAAATTTGTTTATGGTCTTTGGTGTAATACTGTAAATGAAGACTGTAATCAGCCGATAGAATATTTCTTAAAGAGACATCAAAAATAGGGAAAATACAGAACAAAATAGTTCAGGACGAGATCTTGATGGATGACATATGAAGTTCAGGCTTAGCCATATACTGTACACCTAAGGTGCTGCATCAGTGAATACCCTTACAATGGTCTGGTATGGTGATTTATTGTTTGTAAAATAATAATGAATAATTTATGGTACAGGTTGACAATCCCTTATCCGAAATCCTTGGGACCAGAGGCATTTGGAATTTCGGAATTTTTTTTTTTTTTTTTTTTTTTAAGCCCATCCGGGCACAAGTCACTGACCCACATTGGGGCCTGGGGGGCGAAAATATAATAATAATAATTATAATAATAATAATTATAATAATAATAATAATAATTCATAGGTCTAGGTCGTGTTACTCACTTTTTATCTTTTTTTCATTCTTGTATTTCTTTATTATTATTATTATTATTATTATTATTATAATTATTATTATTATTATTATTATTATTATTATTATTTTATTAATACAGTTAACCCTCACTTTACGCGGTTAATGTAACCCGGAGGGTCCCGCGTAAAGTGAATAACATAACATATGGGATTAATTGAAATGGAGTCCGGGCCGATCCCCAAACTCCACTTTTTGACGACACACAACTATGTTGTAGTAAAAATATTATCTTAACTTTTTGATGGTATGCACACACAATTAATAATTAAGAGAAATATCAATAATATTAGGTTTTTTAACACTTACATTAGTAGAAAAAATGGCTGGGCCTCTTTGTCAAACTCCCCAAAGTCCATATAAGTCCATATCCTCACCATAATTGTCACTATCACTGACTTGGGCCGGCTGTGGTGGGTGGCGGGTGAAGAACTGGTAATGTTTTGATGACTGGGCGACCTTGTGCGCACCATGTTCGCGCAGCTTACACAACATGGCGGATGGCGGGAGGTTTGGATCCAAAAATGGCGCGGCTCGCCAGCCGCTCTCCGCGTAAAGGGGTACACGCACCGCGGAATGTGAGCATCCTGGGTTCCGGCAGGGCACCGCGTAAACGTGGAAACGCGGAATGTGGGACCGCATAAAGTGAGGGTTAACTGTACAGTATTATTGTTATCATTATTATTTTATTTTGGTGTATTTTTTAATTAAAATATTTACTATGAATAATTACAGGTATTATTATTATAATTATTATTATTATTATTATAATTAGTATTACTATTACATTTTCACCCCCCAGGCCCCGATGTGGGTCAGTGATCTATGCCTGGGTGGGCTAATCCCTGTAAAAAAAAAAATAAAAAAAAAAATAAAAAAATAAAAAAATGCTCCGCAAAAAAACTTTCGGTTTTCAGAGCTTTTCGGTTTTTGGAATTTCGGATAAAGGGTTGTCAACCTGTAGTGGATTTTTTAAGAAAATACCTGTAATTAATCTTTTATTGTAAACTAGCCTATCCATTATGTGTCGGTGTGGAAACAGTATGCAACGCATAGCATCAAAGTGCAGTGGTGGACAAGAAAGAAGTATCAATACTTCATTATTTTACTTCTGTAACTTTTCAGTAATGTTCTAGTACTTGAGAGTAACTTTTTTCTTCAGTAAGTACTTTACTCTTACTAAAGTAACTTTTTAGAATACGTATACGTTTTACTTGAGTGTCTTCCAATTTTAGTGTCGTTACCATTAGAAAATAAATCTATACTCTACAGTATATAAAATACAGTCTGTGTTTGTATGGTCATTAGGTATTTCTACAGTTTAGAAGACAGAGAACTGAAATTTGGTAGGAAGAGGCAGGTAGTCTAGGGGCTGGTCGTGCACTGTCTCCTGCCCCTCCATAAATGGCGGGTGACCTCAATAACCTGAGTGAAATCAGGTACAGTTACTCATATAATTCACAATATTTTGATTCCAGACTGAGTAAATGCATCAGAATATTTTGATACCCTCCATAGTGAGGTTATCTCTGTACCCGAATACTCCACTGCCAGCTTCAACAGCCTCCCCTTGTTTGTTTGGTATTTTTGATTACTCAGAAAAACAACTTATCTCTCATGAATACTAATGTAGGTTTACCCATTAATACAGCATCTCTGCTGGATGTGGTTATCCCTGAGCTTTTGACACTGTATGTAAAGATCATTTTCAAGGGATGGAAGGGTTAGTTTTTTTTCCACACTAAGGTGCATACGATGGAGTCTAGATAATTTGTGGGTTAGATACTAGAAATAAGTTTGGTTCCAGAGGCCAAGAAATGCCCATAAACTGTTCCAAAACTTCTTTAATATGTAGTACATAATACATCATCAAATACAGTAACACATAGATATTGTACAAAAAGTAGTTCTATATGACATAAATAGCTCCTTCCTTTCACATAAGTCATCTAGGGTTGACTTTGGCTTTTTCATATTGACAAATGAATCAAAATACTATGAAAATTATGGTGAAATTGCATAATGTTGTATTATTTCGAAGTCACAGTGGAGCATTGAAGTGATATTCATATTATATTTTCTTTATTTCCAAGGCAAATTAGAGGAATGAAATGATATTCCCACAACTCTTATAGTTTCTTATGAAAACAAACACTGGCAGTTGGCAATCGCCATGAATTGTGAATAAAGTATTTGACTATAAAATTGTAAAAATGATGTACAGTAGTATATAATAGAGGTACTGTACCCGCAAATTTAAGAACACATTTTTATTTTGTGAAATATCAAGACTCCACTGTATATCTGGCTCTCCAGTAAATGGGTTGATGAAGGGTGGCTGCACATTTTGTCTTAATTTTTTTCTTCTATTCTTAGCTCTGTAAAGGATGTAACCTGCTCTGGTTCTCATCCTCCACAACAAGGTCCCAAATCTTATCTAACCCCATCCCTTCACACAAGCCAGCATTACCTATTAGCATCCAGTCCTTCCCCCAAATTATTTGATTCCTTGCTTTACACTCTTTCATATCCATTATTACTTCCTGTATGCCTATCCCCTCTTCTAGTATGGTATAGTAAAGAATCTATTTAGGGACCAAGAGGCATCTGTAAAATGGATGATTACATTAAGTGGATACTCTTGTGAACTTGTGTCCAAGGAAAGCATTCCTCTTGGTATCATTCTATTACATAACTTACAGTAAGAGAAGAAACTCACAATGGGTTTCTTTTCTTACATTGTTATTCACAATATGGTGACTCTCCTCCAGCCTTATAACGTACAGGCAGACTCATCTCTTTTCCCTTAGGGCCTTTTTCTCTATTACTTTGGGCCTATTTAATCTACTTTGTCCTAAACAGGGTAATTAGGATAATTATACAATATATACTGCACTGTATGGCTTCTGTACTTGTAAGCTCACTAAATTTTAGTTCAAGTTTTTCTGAATTGGTACAGGTATACTGTATGTATAACAATTCCTAATTTGCAGCTTATTGACTTCCACTATTTGTAAGTTGCAAAGTTTTTCACCCTACCCCTGCATCGCCTCCCACTCACCCTAAAGGGTTGATGTCATGAACTTGTGCTATTTTCCTTGGTTACTACTTGTCCAGGATTATGGCCTCTAGGTGTAAGATGAGTGGGGGAAGGGGAGTGTCCTGGAAAGAGGCAAAAGATAGTAATGAGATAAAAGAAAAAAGTGAATGGTAACAAGTTGACTGTGGGGCAAGCATTTTGGTGTGGATAAGTCCATTGTCTGGTACTTAAAAGTCGAATTAAAAAAAGCTATTTGGGGAAATCTTGTAGCAAATCCTCCCATTACTGCTGAAGTTATTACAGCCTTTCAGAACTTTCCTCTGCCGATGTGCTCAAAGGGAAGAACTAATGCTGCTTGCCCTTGTGTTAATGGATGAACAGGAAGGTTTGTGTCACCACAGCTGCCTTCATGGACTGGAAGCTATGCCAGCTGTATACTGTATAGGAATTGTTATTTTTATTTTTTTATTTATTTTTTTATTTTTTTTTTTTTATTAAATCTTCCACTGAAGGATTTGTGAGTTAAATGTTAAATATCTATCTGATGCCCAGAGAATCTATAACTGGATGTCTTTAGATTTTCAACATTCTTAAGTACTGTGCATATTGTGTTAGTTTTAGGGTAAAAATTTGTTTGAAGTTAATTCTTATTGCAAATAGTGGCAACTGCTTGTCATTGTGTTGCCTACCTGTACTTTCTGACTGACAAATACAGTTGTAGAGAGTGGTTATCTTCCCCTGGTGAATTGAGTCTGACCTGGGAACCTAACCCCCATTTTCTTATTGAATTGAGGTATCTACTCATGTAAATTCTGCATTACAAGGTTTTCCAAGAGTGTGGCATTTTTGAGTACAGAGGTCGTACAGTGTGTATGCATTGTTAAATAGTAGATGTTGCTTATTTCTTACAGTTTTTCAAACTACATTTAAAATTAAAGTAGAAATTTCCAAAGCAAATCTGTAAATCACATAACATTATGGTAATAATTATGGTAATATTTGTTTTTGAAACAGCAGAAGAAGCTGAAGAATAGCAGGAATGGAACAGTGCGTCATCATGGTGAGACCAATGGAGTAGTTGCTAACGGTGTTGCATCCAAGCGTTTTAATGCGAATGGAATATCTAGTCAAGATGGCCAGGTAAGCTTTTTAAGTTTAATGCAAACTAAAAAGGTTTTAATTTACTGCTCTGTGTGTGTGTGTGTTGTGTTTCGTGTTGTTTACGTTAAATAACATTATGTTTGTGAAATTGGTATTATTTGTGCTTTTATTCAAGTACTCTATATGCGTGTTTGTAAATCTGGGCCGCATTCAATTGCTCGTTACATTCTGTACACTATGGTGGGACCTGAATGGTTTGTGACGTCATCAAGCACTACATAAACAAACTGGGTGATAGCTAGCGGTGTCCTGTGGGAATAATGGCTTACCATTTACCTCCGGTAAAGTTCTTTGCAGCACATGCTATCCTAAACCACAGACACCGTAATGTATTGCGCCTCCAGTCACTGTCTTTCTTGTTTATAGACATCTCGGCACTACGGAGCTACTCACCTCAGCGAACCGTAGTGTTCGTAGTGCTTCAGAAAGTTCAAGAACTATTTACCCGATGGGACTTCTGCCCAAACATAATAGACATGGATGGTGGAGCAATCAACAGCTAGTAGGGCATTACTCTAGGTGTAAAGGTTATGCGAGGGTAAAGTACTAGAATATCAGTGATATAAAACTATAAAATTTACATACAAAATACACACTTATTATATGTCAGCGTATTATCAATACAGTTCTCATGGAACAAAATCTTGCAACTTTTTACTGTACATATAATTATTGTTCATGTCTTTAGGCACAATATACAACCTACAAAGGAATTAGGAATTGAAAATTACCATTGATGTGCAATATAAAAAAAAAATCTTCCCCCTCTCCAAAATCATTATTCGCTTTGGAAAAAATCAAATACTGTATGATTTTATGAACAAGTGTTAAAATTAGCCATCGGACAGGGCGAGAGAAACAACTTCTTGCAGGATCCAACGTACAGTATACCGTGACAAATGTAAGCTTACATCTACTGTACAAAGTTTATAATATTATAACAGAAAAGAATGTGCAACTATCAGAGACATCTTAAGTAAGGAATCACTCCACAAAGAATAATACAATGAAGCATTGAAGCATACAAAGAAAACAATGAGACATGGATCGTTTGACCTGTGCCGGGGGGGCTAATTCCCGTAAAAAAAAAAATATATATATATATATATATATATATATATATATATATATATATATATATATATATATATATATATATATATATATATATATATATATATATATATATATATATATATATATATATAATATATATATATATATATATATCATGTAGATCCACAATGAAAACGTGGATAAGATAAATCTTGATAAAATCACACGGGAAAAGGGAAACAACGGAGCACCTTAGTTTTCGTCTTTATTCAAGACATCTTCAGAGGCAACTGGATTACATGGACAGAGAGAGGCTTAAATATACAGGGTGACCTTATAAAACATGAGGTCAGGTCATAATGCTGTCATCCACTAATCCCCACACCAACACACACGTAGAGGAGCTTAAGAGAAGGGGGTGACATGACTAGTCAGGTCAGGTCAAAAATAAGGGACCCACTAATAACTATCATACATCTAGATCAAAGGTTTTCAAAGCATTTTTAACCTTGGGCCACTGACAAATAAATTTATGTAACGTATCAGTTTTGAACTGACCATCACTAAGGTTTATTGATTTTAATTCCTTAATCAAACTAGCTTCAACCAGAAGTCTTTCTGTGACACAAGATGATTTTAATACTTCTAAGCGTTTTTCCCAAGCAATGGGATGATTATTATTCCTAACATGAAAGCAGTGCCCTGTTCGTTCACTAGAACATCATCCTGAAACACTACAGTTTGGGGGACAGACTTCAAAAGACTTTCCATGTGTCTTTGAAACACAGCACGAGTTGACCGGACTCCAAGCGGGCACCTGTTGTAAACAAACAATCCTTTATGGGTGTTAATACAAGTATATTTCTGTGACTCCTCGTCCAGTTCCATGTGATCATATGCTGAGGTAAGATCAAGCTTGGTGAAGGAAGTTCCACTCCCTAGAGTCGCAAATAGATCATCTGCTTTAGGTAGTGGGTAGTGATCGAGTTTGGAAAACCTATTTATAGTACAGTAGGGTCGGGATATATCGCGAAATGGTGTCCAAGGATGTTCGCTATACAGTATACTAAATCGCGATATATAATTATGTGTAATCAATGGGGAAAATGGGGTTAGGTTCTGGAGGCCCAAAAAAGTGACTAAACTTGACTTAACAAGTTCATTTTCTTACTAACTAAAGCACCAATGAACACTAGACTCAGGAAAAACAGTGTGTTTCACTATCAATATGAAGGAACACCAGACTCGGGAGCTGACGCGCCTTCCTAGGCGCCATGTTGGGAACACCAGACGCCACACTGCCTCCCACACCTAAATCAACCAAAAAAAAAAAATATTAGAGTACATATTAAATCTTTTCCATTCTCTTCACTTTACATGTCATTAGTAACCAATTTAACTAAAGCACCAATGAACACTAGACTCGGGAACACCAGACTCGGGAACACCAGGCTTCCGAAATCCAGGCTTCGGAACTCCAGGGAACACCAGACTCAGCAAAACCAGACTCGGGAACACCAGACTCGGCAGATGATGCGCCATCTTTGGAACACCAGACGCCACATGCCTCCCACACCTACATAAACGAACAAACAGACTGAGAGAGAGACTGGATAGGAATTTGCCACATCCAGATGTCGGTCCGGACCAACCGAAATCCGGATCTGAAAGGTCTGGAAGTGTGAGGGTTTACTGTATTCCTTGGTCAAGAGGCTGAATAAGATAAGTGTGTTCCTTGGGATTCGGGTGGTTTTTTTTTTTTCCAGTCTGAGATTCCGAGGGACGCAAACTTTAAAACCGTGAGCTTTAAGGGAATACTGTATCTCATTTACAAAACATTTGGTTCATAACACTTTTGGTATTACAAAATTTCCAGTCATTAGGGATATGTCTTATTATACCATGATTTTTTTATATCAGAATCTTTACAGTCATTTGGACACCTTTTCTGGTAAGTTTTAGAGACTCGCTACATTACTGTCCTGTTGTTCCTCATATTTGCTATTGGAACCCATATCCTATTTGGCCATATATGTCCTAATGGGCCCCCATATGTCCTATTAGGCCCCATATGTCCTGTTGGGCCTCATATTTGCTGTTGGGACCCATATGTCGTATTGGGCCTAGAAAGGTGAGGGACCCAGAAGGACAAAAGGGTTTATTGTTTTTGTTAAGTGGGAGTTCTCTCCTTTAACCAGGCCAGGACCAGGATAAGCTGTCTCCTCTGGTTTTGGGGTTGCTGCTCTCCAAAACTGTAGATGACAAAGAAAATGCTGTTGTCTAAACCTATCATTAGGTTATTCTCTGACTGTTTGTGTCTTACAGGTTGACAAAAATACCTCTGGAAAGAAAACTGACAAGATTAATGGGGAACCCAAGTCACAACACAGTAATGTGCGCACACGGGCTCAAGCACGCCGTGAGGGCCGTTCTCGTCAGGATTCATAATTTATGTGTAGGTGATTTGATACTTATAAGAAGGTACAGGCCATAATGACATATTTTTATGTCAACTGACTATAAAATTGTCAATCTGGAGATGTTTGCATACAGTTATACAGTAGTTATTTTTGGGATGAATGATATTCTGTACTGTACTTAAAAAGAGTCTGCATGTAAATATGCTGAAGGAATATACAGTACAGTAGTTATGATTCAGGAGTGATAATTTGTTTTTTAGAATATTATATAAAAACCATTTTAGAATGTTCATTTTAATTAATAGGAGGTAAAAATTGCAAGTCATTTTATATGATAAACTTAAATTCCTGGCTTTCTTTATTATTCATTGTCTTCCTTCAGCAAATTTTGCAGATGTCATCCTTTGTTTTTTCAAGTCATATCTTTGGTATTATGGTGTGTGCTAAAAGTCCAATTAGATTGACAGTGAATTGTAATGATAGATATTCATCAGTTTAAGTTGTAGAACAAATCCTTAGTATTTCAGGCTTATGAAAGTTGAATGTAATTCAAAAAGTTTAGTATACTGTACTGTATACTGTTTCCAGTAACTAGGGTTCTTCATGATGGTGAAATCTTGTGTGTCCTGGGGTAACAAGGGAGTGCTTAAGTTGATTAGCACCTCATGATGTAGGGCCATAAGTGAAAATACTTCCAAAGAGTGCTTATACAAAGTTGAGCTTCTGTTCTGAGAAAATGTAATGTTCACCTTTGGAAATTAAAAAAAAAAATCTGGAAATACATACAGTATCTCGGTAATCTTATTTTTTAAATAAAATGTTTGGTCATATAAACTTTTTTTTACAGTACCGTATATCTCGGCCTACAAGGCGACGGGGTGTATAAGACGGCCCCCAAAATTTCCATTTAAAAAGTAGCTTTTGAGCCCTATTCACTGTATAAGACCGGTACCCCAAATGTGACACTTACCATTGGGAGCTTACTGACCCAGTAGTCCTTTACCAACCATCCCATTGACCAGTGCTGTTTACACATCCTTGGTTTTTTTAAATAAAGCCAATTCACTTCAAGTAATGGCATCAAATGTTGTAGTGTAAACACTAGTGACTCACTTAAAAGTCTGTTATTTAACTTGAACTAATGTCTGTGTCAATACAATTGTTTCATTTACTTGAAATGGATTTACCAATTTATTTGTTTATTTATTTATTTATAACATACTGTAATATATTAAACACACCAAGTATTTTCTTTAATTTATAAGCTTGCTTCAACCAGCTACAGCATTCTAATTCAATAGTGTTTCATTAGGATTTGAGTGAAAAAGATTACTGTACATACTTACTACATACATTTATTACACAAATATATATATATATATATATATATATATATCATGTAAATCCACAATGAAAACGTGGATAAGATAAATCTTGATAAAATCACACGGGAAAATGGAAACAGATGCCTTAGCTTTAAATCTTTATTTAGGAACATCTTCAGGAGCAACTGGATTACATGGACAGAAGCAAATATGCAGGGGTGACCTAAACGAGGTCAGGTCATAATGATGACATCCATAATCCACCCAACACACCGTGAAGGCTTAGGGTGGTGGCTGACTAGTCAGGTCAGGTCAAAAATAAGGGACCCACAAAGTAACTATCATACATCTAGATCAAAGGTTTTCAAAGCATTTTTAACCTTGGGCCACTGACAAATAAATTTATGTAACAGATTATCAGTTTTGAACTGACCATCACTAAGGTTTATTGATTTTAATTCCTAAATCAAATAGCTTCAACCAAGAGTCTTTCTGTGACACAAGATAGTTTGAATACTTCTAGCTTTTTTTCCAAGCAGCCAAATTTGATTGTATTCTAACATGAGCAGACAAGGCACTGCTTTCAGATGCAGTTCTGATATTATATTTATGTTGTTTGATTCTGAGCTGCAGTGTTTTCTGTCTGGCCTGCAAATTACAATTACATTTTGCTGGAATACAATAAACACTTCCATTACATTCAAACTTAGGCTATTCCTTATTAACATATTGGTAATGGATTTGAGTCATACTTGTAATTAAAATATTTCCATTTACTTGAAATAGATTTGCCGATTTATTTGTTTATTTATTTATTTATAATATACTGTAATACATTAAACACAATGCAAGTATTTTCTTTAATTTATATATTTGTTTCGCGAAAAAGGGAGGCTACCATTATACCTGGTAGGTGAAGTTGACCAGAAATTTATGGTGATCATTAAGGACCAAACTCCAATCTATGACGTGACTTCTGTTCATCATTCTCATCCTAAATTTACCACTGTCAGTAGTTTCAAGAATTAACGCAGTCATTTACTGAATATTCTTTGTCAAAAAATAAATTTTAAATTAATTATTTATAGGAGATAAGTATTATGATCAGTAAATATACAGATATGCATTACTGACCACCTCCGAACACAGGGACGGCTAAAAATAGCCACAGGCGGTCACAGTCAAGGTCACTTTCCCTTTCTTGTCACTGGCAAATGGGGGGGGGGGGGATGATAGCAGCTGTGTTTATTACCGGGGTATATTATTCTTTTACGGTATGTTAGACTGGTTTATACCGTATATCACGGCCTATAAGACGAAATTTGAACATTAAAAAAATCTGCCCAAAGTTAGGGGGTCGTCTAAACCACCAAGTTTAAAATTCTTACCTCTTAAATATTGTGGTTTAGTGTGTCAAGAGTGGTGATGAAAACATCGTAAGCCACTCACAAGGTCTTACCACTAATTATTTTATACTGAAACTTACGTTTGGCAAGCTGGATTCAAATTAAGATTACTGTACTGGTATATTAAAATAATAAAAATGTATTATAAACCTGTCTAACATACCGTAAAAGAGATTTATACCCCTGTAATAAACACAGCTATCATCACACACCCCTCCCCACGCCCCCCCCCATTTGCCAGTGAGGAGACAAGAAAGGGGAAGTGACCGCGAGATTGGGCTATTTTTAGCCGTGGAGGTGGTCAGTAATGCATACCGGTATCGGTATATTTACTCATAATAATATTTATCTCCTATAAATAATTGATTTAAATTTTATTTTTTTCCAAAGAATATTCAGTAAATGAGTGCATTAATTCTTGAAACTATCGACGGTTAATTACAGACGCTCAAGTGACGTCACTAGTGTTTACACTACACCAGCTGGTAATATTTGATGCCATTACTTGAAGTGAATTGGCCTTATTTTAAGTAACTAACTATAAATAAATACAAAAATTAAAAAAAAAGATCAAAACTGAGAAATAATATACTGTATGTATGTTGTGTTGTCAAAGTAAGAGGAACAATTGTGTAAGTACGTAATATTTTTTCACTCAAATCCTAATGAAACACTACTGGAGAACATTCCTTTGTCGCAAAACAGTTTATAAATTAAAGAAAATAATTACAGTGTGTTTAATATATTACAGTATATAAATAAATAAATAAAACAAATAATTCGGTAAATCTATTTAAAGTAAATGGAAAATAAGCAAACATGTTATTTACCAAGACGCTTCCGTCTGGCTCAGGGTGAGATGGAGGGGAGATAACAAGGCTATTTATAGCCCATCTGAAGTGGCCAGTACCCTAATGCACCATAAATAATTCATTGAACATTCATTTTTTGTACATAGTATATTCAGTATATATATATATATATATATATATATATATATATATATATATATATATA